CCCGCCGACCGCCGCCGCCGCCGCCCGCCCGCCCGCAGATTGTCCAGATTCTGCAACAAGGCAGCGGCAAGGGCGTCAGGCGGGACGCCGGGGACGTCATCGGCGACGTGCCGGAGCCGAGCTTCGCGCACCGCCCGGCCGTGTCGCCGCGGGCGGTGGCGGCGCGCGAGGCGCTCGTCCTGGTCAGAGAGGCGACGAAGCAGCTGCGGGCGTATGACGCGCACATCGCTGTCAAGAGGGATGCGAGGCGGCGCGCGCTCGACAAGGAGAGCGCGCTGCGGCGCACCGTGCCGCGCGATGCCGAGTAGGACCGACACGCGCGGCATGCAGGAGCCAGGCAGGAGGAGAGGAGCAAGGGGCAGAGCAGCAGCAGTGGCAGAGAACGGGAGCAGCCGCATGGGGAGAATTCGAGAAAGAGGCCGGCGGATGGCGAGCTGTGGGACAGGAGCAGACAGGAGCCCAAGTCGCAGGCACGTGCATCGACGGTGTCTCCGGTCAAGAGCAAGACTGGCCAGCCAACAAGACCGGAGGAGGGCAGCGCATCGACAGTGTCGCCGGTCAAGAGCAAGACTGGCCAGCCAACAAAACCGGAGGGCAGCGCATCCGCAGCGCCAAAGTCGGCGCCGACAGCACCGGCAAACCACTTGAGACCACAGCCCAAGTCCATCTTGAAAAAGACTTCCAAATACCAAGGGAGCACGGGTTAGGGGATACGAGGAGGACGAGATTTATGAGAAAATGTATTGATGAAAAAAAAAAAGAATTCAACCGTCTCTTCAAGGTTATATCTACCTGTCGCCACTAAATCTACCATCTTTATATGTACAAGGTAAACTCACCCTCCAACATTGTTATAACGCAAGGAAACGCTTCTTAAATTTTAGTACAGCCGTTCCGACCCCTTTGTTTATGATCCATACGCAATCTGGCCCATGGGTCTATCCTCCTCCATGCCAGGGGCCATGAAGTTTGTTCTGGGGTCACCACTGGACTTGGCGGCGGAGCATCGGGCCATTGTGGGCGAGCTGTGATGTGTGTTAGTATCGTTGCTGGAAAATTGAATGCGGCGGCTATTGCGAGAACGTACCTTCTTGAAATGACATCGGTAAAGTAAAAGTTCTCAATGACCTTTTTCAGGGGCGCACCCGTGGCCTTGGAGCCCTTGTTCTGGTCGACAAGCTGTACCTTGCTGAGCTCCTTGAGAGCGACAGGCTCGACCACATCGTAGACGGCGAGGGCCGGGCTGATCGTGGACATGCGCTCGCGGACGGCAGTGACATCATCGTAGGGGAGGGGAGCGCCGAGGAACTCGGAGGCGGCACGGAGAATCTTCCAGTCAGTGCGGGCAGCACCAGGCAGGGAGGTAGCGGCGCGGGTCATCTGTACACGGCCCTCGGTGTTGATGTAGGTACCAGCCTTCTCGGTGTACGCGGCACCGGGGAGGATAATGTCGGCAATCTGAGCACCACGGTCACCGTGGTGGCCCTGGTAGACAACGAATGCATCCTTGGGGATGTCGGCCTCGTTGACCTCATCAGCGCCTAGCAGCCAGACGAACTTGGGTTTGGTCTGAGAAACCTCGGTAGAGGGAGTGACGAAACCGACCTCAAAGGCGCCGGCTCGCGAAGCCTCTCTTTGAAGAACGCTGTAACCGTCCCACTCAGGAGTGCGGAAGTTGGCAGCATTCTTCTCGACAAAGGAACCGATAGTCTCGTAAAAGGCCTTGGCGTCGACGTGGTCGGTGACACCAGAGCCGACAACGATCATGGGCTTCTTGGCAGCGGCCAGCTTCTTGCCAAAGGGACCAGCAAGGGCGGCCTTCAAGGCGGCGTGGTCGCCACCCAGGTGCTCAAATTCAAAGGTGGAGTTGAAGGTCTCGCCAACTACGGCGATCTCGAGATCAGAGCGGAGCCATTGTTTGCGGATACGGGCGTTGAGAACAGCAGCCTCGTGACGAGGGTTGCTGCCAACAATCAGCATGCAGTCAGTCTCCTCGATGCCCCAGATGGTCGAGTTGAACAGGTAGTTGGATCGGACATCAACGCCGTGAGCAAGGGGAGCGCTGCCAGTGGGAGTGTCCAAAGCGAGGTTCTCAGAGCCAAGCTTGTTGGCCATGTCCTTGGCAACAACCAGGGACTCGACCTCAGTCAGGGCACCAGAGATGATCTTGAACTCGTTGCCTTGGGGCTTCTTCTGCTCCCAGGCACGAGCGACCTCAGTTAGGGCTTCCTCCCAGTCGGCGGGCTCAAACTTGCCATCGCGGCGGACCAGAGGCATCGTCAGACGCTGGGTCTTGAGACCATCACAGGCGAAGCGAGACTTGTCGTTGATCCACTCCTCGTTCACGTCGTCGTTGAGGCGGGGGAGGATGCGCATGACTTCGAGACCGCGCGAGTCGACGCGAATGTTGGAACCAAGACCGTCGAGAACGTCAATGGATTCGGAGTGCTTCAGCTCCCAGGGACGGGCACGGAACGCGTAGGGCTTGGAGGTGAGGGCGCCAACGGGGCAGAGATCGATGACGTTGCCGGAGAGTTCGGAGTCGAGGTTCTGCTCTAGGTAGGTACCGATCTGGATATCGTTGCCGCGGCCGAACGAGCCGAGCTCGGGCGCGCCAGCAATGTCGTTGGCAAAACGCACGCAGCGGGTGCAGTGGATGCAGCGGTTCATCGAGGTCTTGATCAGGGGGCCAATGTTCTTGTCCTCGACAGCGCGCTTGCCGCCAATTTCGTGGAACCGACCACGGTCGGCTCCGTAACGCAGAGACTGCTCCTGGAGATCGCACTCACCACCCTGGTCGCAAATGGGGCAGTCGAGGGGGTGGTTGGCCAGGAGGAACTCCATGACACCCTCGCGGGCCTTGTGGACGAGCGGCGAGTTGGTCTTGACCACCATGCCGGGTTGGACGGGCCACGCGCACGAGGCAACGGGCTTGGGGGCTCTTTCGACTTCGACGAGACACATGCGGCAGTTTCCTGCAATCATGAGCTTCCTGTAAAATATTTGTCAGCTTCGTTTCGGGGGATCGGATGTCGTCGGGTGCAGGGGCCAATCGTACTCGTGGTAGCAATATCTAAATACCAAAATGTTAATTTGAGCCAATCGAATGTCATTTTCAACTACTCAACGCACCTAGGGACCGTGGCTCCGGCCTTTTCGCAAGCCTGAATCAGGGCAGAACCAGCTATCATATGGGTCAGTCTTCGTCGCCTCGCGGGCCCACGGGAACCGCGTCCCTACCTTCAATCGAGACCTTCTTTCCATCTACAAATCAGTCAGCACGGCCGCCCAGCTTCAATTGCTCGCCAATTGACGCCCTACTCACCAATTGTCAGCTCCACCTCCGCGTGGCGCTGAGCCGATACAGAGAAAGCGCGCGAGGCGCCGGCCGCTCGCCTGCCCGTCCGCAGAGCGGAACGAGCCAGAGTGTGTCGAAGCATCGTCTGCCGCCGTGCCGGGATGAATGGATGAATGGGTTGAGATGCAGTGCGCTGCGGATTTAAAGGACTCAGTCCGTGGGACGCTGCGAGGAGGAACTGCTGTCGGTTTGACGGGAAAGGCTCCTCCGCTAGTGTGTTCGTCCACGGATTAATTTACAATGTCGCTGATTGGCTGGCTGCCCCAAACAGTGCCTGAGGCAGCGACGTATCCACTCGCACTATAACGCGGCGCTGGAATTTGCGAGCTTTGCTGCTGCTTTTCTCTTTTCTCATTATTGTACACGGGCATATTTTATTGTAGGTGAGCTTGAGCCGCACTCTGCTTTGCAGTTTGTAGCTTCAGTCGAGTCTTCCTCTATCTTATGCTCAAGATCAAACATTTTGACGCCGTTATGGAAGCAGGGGAGAGAAATTTCATCTCAACGAGCATTGCCTCTTACCGCCGGTCGTTACATCTCAAGCCTTTAAGGCGCCTTTATTTTAATCTAGCTGTCATTATCTGGCCTACTCGTACTGATCCTAAGAACTGCAGCTGCACTGCATGGCCCGCTCGTGACGAGGCACGTCGCCAACCCAGCGCTGCTCCTCGTCGCGGTCGCCCTGATATGTAGCGCCGTCAAATTCCAGGCCAGCCCAAGAATCATTGAACGGATGAAGAGCCATGTGCATGACACGGTCCAGAACTTTTCTATCTCCTTCCTTCTCCACACGGCGAATCACTTCGTCGAGAATCCAGCCCCGAGGAACAAAGTTGGGGTTTACCTGCTTCATGGCCTGGATCCTTTCCGCCTCTGCGCCGTCGGTGACTCCATTTCCATCAGGCGACCAGTCCTCGACGACCCGATCGTGCCATTTGGACAGCCAATTAGAAATGCGACCCAAAGCGTCGGCCTCAGTTGTTGTCTTTGGCAGGCCTTCACTGTGGAAGAAAATCTTGGCTGTTTGTCGTCGGGCGTCCTCTGTCGCCACTCGGGCGAGTTTGACACTGCTGAGTCGACGGAAGAAGTGGCTAAAGTCAAGTTCAAAGGCTTCCAGGGTATCCAGCGCCTCGGAAAAGAGCACATCAAAATCTGACTCTTTCTGCTGGCGCAGGCCGAGGCGGGCTGTCATCAGCCTCTTGTACTCTGACAAGAAGGTGTGTCTGTATTCCTCTCCAGCTTGCGTGATGAGTTTTTCAGCTCGCGCAATAACCTCGTCTTCCTGGTCTTTCTTTACACCATCCGCAATAAATGTTTCGTCATCGACGGCTGATCCTATGCCCATCAGCTCTCCGAGAGCCTCGCCGAGCCGGACCAAGTTCCACCAAATAATGGTAGGCTGATTCCTGTAGGAGTACCGCAGCATGCCGTCGTCGTGATTGGGAGTATATGACGGGTCGAAATTATCCATAAAGGCGAAAGGACCAAAGTCGATAGATAGGCCAAAGACGGAGGTATTGTCCGTGTTCTGTTTCATCGGATTAGTACTAGAAACATGCGGCTGGGTGCAATACGCACCAAAACTCCGTTCATGAAGCCGTAGGCTTGCCATTGCGCAACTACGACGGCGTTGCGTCTGACTATCTCTCTGTATAGCCGGGTGTACCTATTCTCAGCAACGTCCTCAGCGCCTTGTATAGTCTTCTCTGAGACACCTCGAGCAGGTTCTGGTCCATCTGCAGGCTTGTCTGGGTTTGCCAATCTTCCGGGAAGCTTGTCCCAGCCTCCAAAAACATCATTGGCGACATAGGTGGACAGCTCTCTGACTAGCTTACGGTCGCCTCGGGATCGCAAGAGGTCAAAGGTTCCTAGGCGGATCCAGGACTGGGCAAAGCGCAAGACGATGGCGCCTGGCTCCATCCTTTCGCGGAGCACTCTGGACTGCGGCAGCAGAGTGAGAGCCAATGCGCGGGTGGTGGGAATGGACAGGGCGTTCAAGGCCTCGGAAACGACGAACTCTCGGATGCTCGATCGGAGGACCGCCTTGCCGTCAGCAAATCGGGAGTACGGTGTCAAGCCGGCACCTTTGAGCTGTAGTTCATAGCGAATACCAGTTTCCTGGTTGGTCGTCTCGAAAAGAGAAATGGCTCTGCCGTCTCCGAGCTGTCCGGCCCATTGGCCAAATTGGAAACCGCCATAGCACTGCGCCCACGGATAGCCGCCTTGCAGCTTGTCCTCGTCCCAGCCGTAGAGTTTGTTTCCCGCGACAAACTGCCTGAAGTCTTCTGTGATTCTTTCGTCTTCCTTGATGCCGAGATCGCGCATGGCGGCGGGGCTCACGGCGAGCAGCTCGGGGTCCTCCTGCTTCTCGGGGCGCACCCAGGTGAACAGGGCGTCGCGCACCATGCGCGGCCCAATCTCGTCTCGGGGCGTCTGGTGCGAAGCGGCTGGGGTGGGAAACAGAGGGTCAGGGGTGAGTCGCGAGGTAAAGTTCCAGGACTTGGGCATCTCCTTGAGCGGCTTGCCCTCGGACGAGAGCTGGCGCGCCTTGGGCGCAGAGGTTTCAGTGGCCATGGGGGAGAAAAGGAGTCTTGTTCGCGGAAGAGCCCTGGAAAGGCTGGTTCTGCGAAGCATCAACGGCAATTTTGGGGTTGCGGGAAATATCTGGCCGCAGGAGTTGCGAGGGCTTTTCCCTGGCTATATAATGATGGCCATTTGGAATCGTTGCCCATGACGCAACCGCAGTGGCGAGCGGGCTTTTAGCTCGGAGCCGCTGCCGTAGGGGCGGCACAACGGCGACGGCTAGACGGTGGCGCGGAACCGAAAGCCGTTCCAGCATCAGTGGGTATTGCAAAGCCGACACATGTCCGACAAAGTGGGAATAATGGGAGCCGAGTGAATTCTACGTTCAAATTACATTCATTTTGCTCGGCAGTTGATTGAGGCTGTCGGGGGGAGGCAACGGGCGGACGATAATAGTAACTAACCCGTCCGGCCTGGGTAACATGCTCTTTTTGCCATGGTCTCGTCAGTGTTCAAATAGATGTGCAAGCCTGGAAACGGCTTGGTTATACTATACAATTTCGATGTGCTAGTTACTTCAGTCCTGTGGACGGTGCAATTTAATTCTTCGAGCCAGCATTGGATGGATAGGTAGTTGGACACTTGACCCAAGCAAGGGTTTGCAGCAGACGAGAAGGAATACGTCTAGCAATGCAGAATATTGCTGCTAAACAAAGTCAAAATCAGAATAATTTCCAGGTCCGTGTCTTGCTAGCGAACACATTCAATCATCAATCTTGCGCTCAGCTGTCTCGAGTGGAGTGGCGGCAGCCAGCCATCTCGTCAAGGCGGACTGCTGCCTGAAGCCAGCCCTGCAGTACTACCCTACGCTAATCCATTCCACATGACACAACCAAGCTCAAAAGACGTGAATCTTCCAACCAGTATCGCTCACACAGCCTCTCTTCAAATCTGGCACCGGAATTTGACAAACGGTACCTTATCCACCTTGTACCATATTATTGAAAGCATTGGCTCCCCTCCACCATGGCAACCTTCAGAGTGCTCAAGGTGCCACAAAGCGACAACGACAAAGAGTTCGTCTTGCTACAGGTCTCGTCGTCGGGCAAAAAGCCCTTGGATCTCAAGTTGATTGGAACCGAAGGAGAAGCACCATATGTGGTCAAAAGTAGAAAACCCCCCGCCGTGCTTCCATGCAAAAAGTCATTGCACACCTGAAGCTGACCCCAAGCCGCCTGCCCTAGTCAAACATGACCGCATTTCCGCCCTCAAAGTGAAGAACAGTCCTCTGACAGACGCAGAGTGGGAATCAACGCTGGAGTCCTTCTTCCACCAGAAACCACTGCACGATATCAACGCAACAGCCACCGTCCAAACCGAAGCCTCCATCTCCATCACAGTCCGGAAGCAAGTACAGGGCATTACGGTACAGCAAGAAGAGTGCAAATCCTCCAACGACGACTTCTCGCTAACTACGGATCCGCCAGCAACGGCTCGGCACCATTACTCTCTCGCATGACGCCAACGAGGCCATCGAGCTGCTGGAATGGTGCGCCGCCTCCGCAGACGCCGTCGTCGCCAGCAACCAGGCGACTGCGCACGCCCAGTCCCAGGCCGCCGAGCGCGAGGCGTCGATCCAGCAGCTGAAGACGCAGCTCGACGAGCTCGTGCGGGCCAAGGACGAGGACGAGACGGCGCTCCTGCAGAAGTTCCGCGACTTGCTCAACGAGAAAAAGGTCAAGATTCGCGAGCAGCAAAAGGTCCTGGCGTCGCCGGCCTTTTCCGTCACCAGGGGGGAGCCCGAGCCCGCCGAGCCGTCCCCGGAACCCGAGCAAGAAGTCGCGCCTAGGGCGAGGGCCGCCAGAGGCCGCAAACCAGCCGCCTCGCGGGCGAGCAAGCGGAAAGCGGCCGCGCCCGTCAAGGAGGAAGAGGTGCTGCCGGAAGAGGAGCCGCGCATCAAGTCGGAGCCAGAAGACACCGAAGACGGCCACACAACAGAGGCGACGGCTTCGGTGGACGATGACGAGGATGAGGATGAGCACATGGCGGGCGACGACGGACATGAGGAAGCCGTGCCAGCACCACCACCGGCCCGTGAACAAAGCCCGCCGAAAAAGGTCGCCGCGCCGCCGCCCAAGAGAGCCCTTCCGTTTGCGAATAGGAAACCAAACGAGGCTCCTAGGCCAGCTGTGCCGACTGGCGGGGCGGATACGGATTCAGATGATGAACTGTAGTAAGCGCCATGTATTATATTGCTAGCATATTCTGTCACTTTCCAGCATGATACGACTACATGCACGATTCTACCTAGACGCAGTCTCAGCTTCCACGAGTGCCCTCCCTACTTCTTCCCGAGCAAAACAAGCCCTTTCACAAGCCGGCTTAGCTTCTATCATCCTCGGCAAACTTATCCCGCCAAAAGGCCCTGTAGTGCTTCTCCCTGCCCAGCGCCGCCACGTCCTCGACCTCCTTGGGGGTGAGCTTGAACTGGGGCACGAGCTCCAGCACGCGGCGCATCCTCTCGGCGCTGCTCGTCGTCGTGAGCGTCACGATGCCCTGGTCGAGACACCAGCGCAGGCCGACCTCGGCCTCGCCGACGCCGTACTTTTGCGCCAGCGCCGCCCACGCCGCGTCCACGGGCCCGCCGCGGGCACGGATCAGCGGCGTCAGCGGGCCGTACGCCGCGACCGCGATGCCGTGCCGCCGGTGAAACGCGAGCAGGTCCACGCCGTGGTGCTGCAGGTACGGGTGGAACTCAATCTGGTTGATGGCCGGCACCACCTTGGCCGTCTCGAGGATCGGCTCCAGGTGCTCCGGCAAGAAGTTGGACACGCCAATCGTCCTGGCCCGGCCCGAGGCCTGGATCGCCTCCATCTCGGCCCATTTCTGCTGCAGCGCCGCGCCGGAGCCCTCGGCGAACCACGGCCCGTGCAGCAGATAGAGATCGACATAGTCGACGCCGAGCTTCTTGAGGGACGCGTCAAAGTGCGCCTGCGTGTCCGTCTTTTCCAGCGCCGGCAGCTTGGTCGTAATGTAGAGCTTCTCGCGCGGCACGCCGCCCTCTTTGATGGCCGCGCCTAGTTCCTCCTCGTTTCCGTAGACTGTGTTTCGAGGAATATGCGTGTTAGCGACGTTGCAAAAGCAGAACCCAAATCGCAACGTGGAGGGGGGGGGGGGGGGGGGTGAAACTTGCCCTCAGCACCGTCTAGATGGCGGAACCCGTTGGCGATGGCCTCCTTGGTGTACTTGACGACGTTTTGGTCAAACTTGCCCTTGGCGCTTGCCGATTTGAAATTGGCCGTGCCGAGTCCGTATCCGAGCTATTCACGTCGCGCTGTCTCAGTACCACGGCGTGCCACGATGGGGGGCGTCTCTGTACTGACCATGGGGATGGTGGTGCCATCGTTGAGCTTGAGCTCAGGGACCGTCGACACTTGCTTGGGCGACTGGCCCGAGGCGTCTGGCGTGAATGTTGCACTGATTGAGTTCATGGTGTCTATTTGATTATGTGTTCTTGAAACTTCGGTATATCTCTCATACAGTTTGGAGGGGAACACGAAGTGGCAATGAGCATGAATTTCGCAATGGCAGGCCAATCAGTTACCCCGCTTGCCGTGGGGGTCGTCGATGACGCTATCCACAACATTTGCGTTAAATCCGAGTCACTGGGTGCTCACTTGTGTTGTATCTTGGTTACCTATGTTATGAGATTACAGATGGAACTGGGACACGAATGTCTAGCGCTGAGAATACAAAGTACCAAATGTCCCGATCAGGCTGCGCTCAGATTCCCAGCGTGTGTTTGAACACGCAAGACATAGCTATGAGAATAAGCAGCGCGAAATTACCAGACAAGGTGTAAGATAAAAGAAACAAAAGATGCATGCTGATACATATGCTTCGTCCTTGATACTAGTTGAACAAATCACTCCCTCCCCCTCCTATAAAGAAATCCATCTCGTCGAGAGCCACTTGAAGCCAAGGAAAACATATATTCGTCATGAGCGCATCCGAGTCATTTCGTCGTAACCATTCCCCGAGGCCAAATACACCATGCCCCTTTTTTCTATTCCCAGTCCCAGAAACACCAAGCCGGCTACTCGCCGCACCGCACCCCAAACAAATCCTCAGAAGGTGCCAGTGTGGCAGCCACGTGACGAATGCAGGAATAGTATATATAGCATGCAATGTAGGTCAATCGACCTATGAGCAACAAGGAAAATCGTAACGGCGTGAAACAGACAAGTCAAACAGACAAGTCAAACAGACAAGTCGTCAAACTGCGACACCAGCTCGCGAATCGTCCACCTCCATATGTCGCGGTCTCGGGATCCACGACCAACCCACTTCTCACACTTTCGTCTCCAACGGTCCTCCTCTTCACGTTGTCTCCTAATAAACTCAGGTCCGACATCAAACTCTTCTCCAACGAGCCACTCGTCTTTGATGTCGCTGGCCCGGCCCTGTCCACGTGTGTCATCGGTACCGTGGTCATCCAAGTCAGGAATGTCTTTAAAGACATCCTCTTCGTCGTCAAGAGCATTGAAGCCATCCATTGTGTCACTTGTCTCCGACGCCGGGTTATTTTGCGGCCCAATTTTGAGCCAGCACATGTTCTGCGGGTCAAACACCATGCCGCCGACAACTTGAACTCCCTTCGTGGAGCTAATATTGGTGATTAGGGCTGGGCGGGGGGTTGTGGTGTCCTTCTCTCGTGCTAGGTGTGCGGGAGAGGGCGCTGGCGACTGCGTCGAGGTATGATCAAAGGCATTCAGAACATTCTCGTTGCCTTCCCATCGAAATGTGTCAGCATTATAGTACATGCCATTGATAGTCCTGGATTCTTTGCCGCTGTTCAAGTTGGCAATCAAGTGCGGCTTTTGCTGTTGCACGCGCTTAGAGGGCTTCTTGGATCGAATGATGTGTTGCGACGGCAGTTGCGGGGTGGCGGCTCCCCGAGGAGGCAGATTCGTGCCGCGCTGCGCAGAAATGGTAGCAAGGGGACCATTTGCAGGAATGCGGTTTGCTAGCGACGTCTCGCGAGCAATACGACTTGCTGCGGTATCACGAGCAAAGCGGGGAGTGCTCGACAGAGGTTTGGCAGGTGATTGAGGGGCAGGTGTACCAATGCGGTCGGGTATCAAATTCAGATACGTTTTGTTTTTCAGAGCAGGTTTTATGCCAGCCGAATTCGGTTGCCGCAAGAAGCGAGTCTCTGCTTCCTTGGATGTTGGAAGATCATCAAATCCATCCAACTCGTGCCCATCGCCAAAGTTGCGCTTGTTCTTAGGTTTACTAAGCCTCTCCCAAGTATCAGCAGCGACTTTAAACCGCTGAGGACTTGGCGAGCGCATAGCGGACCTTGAAAATGTCCGGGAGATAGACCGAGTGTCAATGGCATTCTCAGAATCCCATCGGCGGAACTGTCTCATTCCTTTGGACGTCACATGATGTGATGTACTCTGTGAGCTTCCTGCAGGTATAAAAGGCATAGATGGTGCCTTTTTCGAGTGTGATGTTGGGCTTTCCTGCTGCCGAATGCGCTCGACTGGAGTCTTGGGGCGGAGCCCAGATTGGGGTCGGTTATTATCTCTTGAGGGTGGCCGATCCGAGCGCGTAGTCGGGGGCTTCATGGGCGAGTTTGCTTGCCGAACAGCAGGCATTGATCGCTTTTGACGCAGAAGCTGCGAGTTTGTCGTAGATGCAGTATCATTGCGGAGAGTGCTAAAGGATGATCCAGCTGTAACTTCTCTCCGGCGCGGTGTTGATGGCGGGAAGGGAGGCGCATGCAAAGTCGTGGGCGTCGGTACGCTAACGACAGATGACTGGGCAGAGTGACCCAGGCGAGATTGGGGCCGACGACTCCTTTGCTGAATAGGGCCACCGCTCTCCGAGACAGGCTCCAGCGCCGTAGAACGTGAACGCTCATGACTGAGACGTGGCAGGCGGGTGCTCGTGATGGGCTTGTTGCTGAACGTCAATGAGATTGCAGTCTTGGGTCGCGCAGGGCTGGCAGGTTGGGATTCCTTGATTTTGATGTTTCGGTGCAGGGACAGCTTGGCAGACTCGAACACATCACCATCGCCGATATCTAGGCCATCAAGAGGATCCTGACGTTCTGCTTCCACATGTGGTTTGTTTGGGGTAGTCGCGGCACTGGCAATTTGTGTATCGACAGTTAACCTTGATGGGGAGGGGCTATTTTTGCGGCGTTGGAGTCGCTCCCTGAAGTTTAGGGGACCAGTAGGAAGCAAAAGGCCATCAAAAGTCTCGTCTTCACTCTCCGCAGTGACCGAGCTAGAAATGCTAGGGCTGAGCGCAGATGCAGAGGAGCTCCTAGCCGATCGTCCATCACGTCGGGTGCCGCCCCAGCGTGTACCCAGACTCCCTTCACCCCAATCCAAGTCGTCGGCCTGCGACGGCGTTGTTGGAATGTCTCTTCTTGTTGAAAGTGTCAACTTGCCATCCGATGGCAGCTCCAGGTCATCCTCAAAGCCATCCTCGGTTGCCTTTGTATTGTCCTTCTTTTGCGGAGTCGGGGGTGTGATGAAAGACACGGGGTTGGCCTGCACTCGGCCTCTAGGGATACTGGGTACGCGAACTGTGGCAGGACCTGGGCCAAAGAAGTCGTCGTCTTCGGAGTCTTTGAACTTGTCCAAGTTGATAGCCGAGGTAAGTGCGCTCGTCGCAGACTTGGCTGCCGACGTAGAAGTGGGTTGAATGGGAGCAAAAGTGGTCATGTTTGTTGATGGTGATTTCATGAGATGGGTTGGACTGTCCATGAGGGAGCCCGCACTGACTTGTCGAAGCGTATCGGGAAAGTCGACGGCTTCCTTCGTCTTGATGACGAGCCCTTTTGGAAATTCGGGAATCTCCAAATCATTTTCCCAATCGTCCTGGATAATTTTCTGAATTTTGCGTCCTCCCAGACGCTTGATGGTTCCTCCCATGAGTGCTGTCGTTGGTACATTCTGGGGCAGGGGAACGCCGACGTGTTGAGCGGCGGCGATGGCATCCATGGTCGAGCTTTCGTCATCGCCAGGGATATGAAACTGCTGTTCGTCGCCTGGCATCGACTCAAGTTCGGATCGAAACGACACATGAGACGAGGTAGAGTCTCGGCGGCGGAGGGGCGCGTTGCTGAAAGTGGTCGAGGTGCGCCTGCTCAGGTCGTCCCCGTCAATGAGGAAGTCGCCATCGTCATCCCAGCTCTCGATATCCTCTGCGGGTGGCCGTTCTTTTAATTTTAATGTCGCCATGATGATTTATTGCGACAGTCAAGCTAAGTGTCGCGTCCGAAGCCAACTCAAACGGTTGAAGTGGCTAGGCGTACAGGAAGGCTGGGGTTCTAGCTTGACAGGCACATAATCGAGGGCGTCAATGCAGCGCGATGCCAAATGCTGAAACCAGTCGCTTTCCGTGTCGCTATTATCTATAGATTGTTTCCGAAGGATGAAAAGTCGCTATTCGATTGCAAGGTGGCGGGTTGGCGGCGCCGGCGTGGACGTGTCGTGTGCACGAAATGATTCAATTGGGGCGGGCGGGCTGTCGCGTCGAAGCGGGTGGTGATGCCGAAATCCTAGATATCGATGAGCTACGCAACTTTGGCACGAGCTCGAGCGAGAAAAAGGACGGCGCTGCGCTGGTGAGTTAGTATCGTCGTGTGTGAAGATGCAAAGGCGACCACATGGAGGATTCGCAAACAAGCGAGAAGTCAGCGTGCGATGGTGGGCGGCGGGTGGGCGGGCGGGCGGAATTGAAAAGGCTGGGGGGTCACCGCGTGGCCTGGGAATGGGTGGTTGGTACCTCCGGCACGTAGGTACCACTCGGTACGACGAAGGCAGCGCTCCAGCACCCGGCTGGGTTGGCCTGACTCCGCGCTGTTTTAGCGTGGAAAGTGCTGTGCGTGAAAAGGGCCGGGGGTATACAAAAAAAAAAACCGGCGCTAGTTGCTATAAGTGACAACGAATATAAGGAAAATAAGAGTAGCGGGAAAAACAAACAAAAGTACCCAAAGGACCCTTCTCAGTTGGCTGATTTTCTCATTAGGCCGATAGATCTCTGGCTCAGTACAGCTGTCGCGCAGGAGAGAGCTTCAGTTCAGTTGAGGCTGGGTGGGCCTGTGCGCGCCCCCATGTATCACTTTTTCTTCTTCACTGGTGCCCCCTTCCCTTGCATCACGCATCACGCATGACGAAACGAGGTCGATCTGAGGGTAAGGATTCAAAGCAACTGATTACATGCTCAAGCTTATTGTCTTTTTTCTCACTTGCGACAATATGTCCGTGGTCTCGCCGTGCTGTGACTGTGAATCACGTGCCTTGCTGACATAAGCCGGCTCTGGTGCTCTCACATAGTCCGGGAAGACGATAGACAAGGCTCCAACAACCAAGTTACACATCAATTCATCAATTGAATAGAAAAACTTGGCTTATTCCCGTCTTCCGATCCTTCTATATCATCCTACAGCCTGCCAAACGGTCTGCTGCAACAAGATGGTCATACCACCTCCATAGCGCATATACACACAGCTGCCCACTTAGACCAGCAGGTGCTGCCACCATGCCCGGCGTGCCGTCCGGGCGCGCATGTGCAAATTGCCGCCGCCGACGTCAAAAGGTGCACATGGAAACAAGTGACCCCCCTTTTTTTTGGCCCTTTGACTGATCATGGTTAAAAAAAAAAAAGTGCGACTACGCAAAGCCCACATGCTCGCGATGCGCCCGCCTCGGTGTCGCGTGCGTCGGCTCCGGCCAGCGACGCTTCCTTTTCATAGACCAAAAATGCGCCCGACGCCCTAATTCGGGTGTCTCGAGTGACGGCTCGGTGGCGTCTACGCCATGTTCCTCGCTCCAGCCCCTGTTGCCGGGGCCGAGGAGCGAGGCGGATGTGCTCGTCGGCTGCTTCGTGGACATGATACAGCCGTCCTCGGACCGTAGATTCAACCTGGCGTCGACGTACGGCGATTTTCTCGAGAATGTCCCGCAACGGCTAGGATCTAATACAGCGCTCGACGTGGCTGCGCAGGCGTTGGTGGCATCCCATCGGGACTTTGCCGTGCGTCGTCCCGTCACGCCGGACAGCCTCGCCAAATACTCGGATGCCATAAGAGCATTGACGCAAAGTATAAGCGACCCCGTGACATGCCATTCACTAGAGACTATTTGTGCCGTACTATTGTTGACAATGTGCCAAGTAAGTATTCGGTCCCTTGGAGCTCGCACGCATTCCTTCCGCTAAGTATTGCCTGTAGAATCTGAGTGGACTGGGCCTTCAGCATCTGACAAGCCACTGCCAAGGCGCCGTTGAAATGCTGCGCGCAAGACAATCGGTTCATATTACCGAAGAGTTTGAAATAGGCTTGCACACGTATTTGCACGGGCCTGTAGTGAGTGGCCATAGTTCAAGCCGAGAAGGAGAAGCAGAAGACTGACAACGATTTCCAGCTGGTGCAATCCCTCTTCAACAGGAAAATGCGACTTTCGCCCACCAAATTCGAGGCGCTATCGAGAGTTCTCGCAATCAACAAGAAGGCGCCTGGCTCTAGCACCTTGGTACTTTTATTTCAAATACCTGCGCTCTTGCAGCGTGGGAGAACTGTCATGCAGGGCTTGGCAGATCGCGGAGCATTCATGACTGAGCTCGCCTCAACATACGATGCTCTGCAAACATCAGCGTCCATTGTATACTCCAAATTCATGACTGGTCCGAGCACAGAAAGAAAATTCACCGGCCCCTATGGCTTTTGCCTGGCATACAGTTGCATCTTCAACTGCATGATGCGCGCCGTCGAGCCCGACAACAGCGCGTTGCTTTCCGACGGCGAGACTCTGGTCCGGGCCACGTTCGCCCTGGTTCCCGAAGCCCAGCGGAATAGACCCTTGGGGGCCGCGCACATGATGCTCAATCTCAGCGCGGCGTGGTTGTGCGCAAGTGCGCGTGAGCGGCCAGTGCTGTACGCTTTTCTGGGAGACTTTGGATGGGATTTTGACAGGGACGCTCGTGCCGTGTGGCCACTAGAGCTTCTTGAGGATCTCCTCTGCGATGTCCAGTTCAAAACTGACCCGGAGGTTGTTTTGGCTCAAGTTGCGTGAGCTTGGGTCAAGCCTTGGCTGAAGCTTCTTGGTTGTAAAGCAATAACTCCACGTGATTGGCTGAGCTGGTTGGTGCCGCGTCGTCAACCCCACCATTCTTTCCAGCACGGCAAGCTTCCCGCCCGCGCGATCAGCACCCGTTGATAGATATAGACTTCTTTGTACATACGGCTGCGACTGCATATCGGCATTATACACGTATCCCGCAAGACTCCTCTAACTCATCCCGAGAAGCTCCACGCAAGGTCGTGAAGTCTCCGCCAGCGGCCCGACCGCAACCCTCTTCCCCGCCCGTCTCCTCAGCAAACAAACGCTGCTCAAAAACCAATACCCGACCGACACAGCACAAACCCAACCAATCCTGCCTCATTATCATCAGAACCAACCAAAACCATGACAGAAGTATCGTTTGCCAGGACGTTTCTCACGTCGCTCGACTCGCGGCCAGCCAACCTCTCGCCGGACCACGTCGAAGATGCCCGAAACTTTCCCGCTCGTCCTCCCGTACGTCATCTCCCGTCCGTCTTGCCCAAACGCGAAAACCAACATTAACAAATACCCGGTGTCCGCAGTACATCCTCCCGCGCATGCCCACCGAGATGAGCCGCCCCCTTGGCGGGGGCGCCCGCGGCCCCGCGCCTGGCCAGGAGCGCAGCGTCACCGTCACGCTGCGCTCGCTGCGCAACCCGCCGCTCGACATTAAGCTGGCTGCCCAGGCCCTCGGCACGTCGCTGCTCGACGTCAAGCAGGCGGCCGCGGCGCGCGCGCGTATCCCCGCCGACAAGCTCAAGATTCTGTACAACAAGCGGCCGCTGCCGGACAGCAAGGTGCTCAGCGAGGTGCTCGGGGACGACCCGCCGACGGCGGTCGTGTTCAGCCTCATGGTGATTGGGGGTGCCGCGGCGGTGCTGCCCGAGGAGGCGGCGGCGGCGGCGCTCGAGGTGGATGATGGGTTGTCGGTCAAGGCGAAAAAGGGCGCCGCGGCCGTGGAACAGCCCCAGTTCTGGACAGACTTAAACGGGTTTCTGATGCAGAGGGTCAAGGATGAGGAGACGGCGGCGGAGCTGACGACGGTTTTTAAGAACGCCTGGGAGTCGAACAAAGCAAAGCCCTAGATGAGCTTAGGGGGGTCAGGGGCGGTGCTTGTATATACTGGTAGAGACTTAACGTGGCATCATGAAACAAATACACGACTTGTAGACTACGCTGCAATTCAAGAGACCGTATCCAGCTAGGAGTCGATTCAGGGAGCTACGGAGGCTTTGTAGTGTAAGATAGGAGTTTCTTCACTCGATTTGGAGCAGTCATTCCGATTTTTGGGTTCGTTGTTGTCTAGACAGCTGCGATATATAACCTGCTAGTTCATCTTTTGTTTTGGGGTCCATGCCAGCAAGCACGACCCTATCATCCTTGTCCCCGATTCTCGTCCTTTGTCGTGTGGAGCGTCGTTGTGGGTGTCATTTTCTTCTTCGCGAACGTAGTTCATGAGGAGGGCGCAGGCACTTAGGCGGCAAGACCCTTGCTGACGGTCTTGAGAATGGTGTCGTACTCAATATCGTCCGAGTCGTTGGCCTGGAGCTCGCTGGCAAGACCGGTGAGGGAACGCTTCAGGGCCTCCTTGGAAGAAGCGTAAATCATCTTGGGCTGCGGTCGAGGTTAGCTGCAATTCTGGCAATCACGCCGTTCCTAGCGGGGCGCCTCGTACCTGGATGCCGGCATCATCGGGGGACCAGGCAATGAAGACAATCTTGTTGCTGTGGCTTGGGTTAGCTTGATAGTCATGCTGCGATGCTCAAGGTCCTAGCCTACCGGATACCGTCACCAGTGGCAAGGCTGTACTCAAAGTCGTAGACGGCATAGCGGGGACCCTTGCCGACAGCACCCTACGTAGCGAAAAGACACATGGCGTTAGTGCATGCAAATCAAGGTGGCGACCAGAATTCGGCGAAGGGGACAGAACTAACAGTCTTGCTCTTGGAGGTGGCGTTGATGAGCTTCTCGCGGAAGTTATCCCACTCCTTGTCGCTGGAAGCCTCCTCGACGACAATCTGCTTGTTGTCGTCGCTGAGCTTGTAGATGATGTACTTGTGCTTCTTGGAGAGCTTCAGATCGTTGTAGGCGGTGATGCACTCCTGGCTAACGATGGCTCTGTGAAACCGGGGGATGTCGGGTTAGTTATTATTTTCTTGATTCTGGTGGTGATCTCGAAGATACGTATTATCCGCCTCGGCGCCGCTTTGTCGCGCCTTTTTTCCTCTGCCGCGGACAGAATCGCACGTTCGCAAGAGGCGGGGGGCAACGACAGGTCGGTGGAGGGGTTTGGGGATAGGCGGGGGAGGACACTGGCAAGGTATGGACGCACCCGGATTGAGACTGCAAGTCAGAAAAACGGTCAGTATTCGAGAGTATGCGACAATGGAAGCGGGCGCGCCTCGGCGCATGGTTGTACGTACCATGATGGCGGTGTTTTTGAGGTCAACGTGCGGAAAAGAGGAGTTATTTGCTCTGGAGAAGAGGGGAGCTTGGTCAGTTATTGCGCAGATAGCTGGGCAGGGAACTCGCCCGCCGTAGCGGGGTGTGCCGAGCCGCGGCGGGCGGGTAGGTAGGATGGGGAAAAAGAGCTGCAACAGGTGGAAAGGGGAAACCAACGTGAAAGGACAAGAAAAGGGAAGGTCGCGATCGGAACTTGTCCTTTTTTTACTGTTCGATGCAATTCGGTGTTGTGTTTACGTGAAAGGTGACGAGAGAAAGAGAGCGCCAGCTTGCTGAAGGATGGTGTGAGGTCTGGTGGGCAATATGGGAGGGGCACGCAGCAGCAGCAAGCACTGGACAAGGACGAGGTGCGCGCCAGCGGACCAGGCAGCTGTATTTGCTTGCACCAGCTGGCCAGCTGTCGGCGGCCCCTTGCCAGAAGAGCTGGTGGGGGTTGGCCGTGAGACGCCCCACGTGACGCTTTCAGTGACGTCGGCGCTGCTGAGCCTCATTACCAATTTTCTTGACCGAGTCGTGTTCTCCGACTTGGCACAATGATAGTATACGTTTTATATAGTCAGAAATTTCGAGAGAAAGGGGCAGGTAATTTTAATCTTATTTCAATTCCTCTTCTTTCCAGGTAAGTCTCTGTATGGACTGGTACAATGGCATCACTCGCCAATGCCCATCGCCAAACCATTGCCTAAATGTCACCTGCCCTTATCTGGCTGCCTGCAAGGCTTCCGTCATGTCTCACTAGCAGCTCCGACCACAACAATTTGTAATAACTTTTGCTCATGTTTTGAGTTCTACAATGAGGGCTACCATAACTACTATACAATGACTCTTTGCCAAATAGCCGTGGCCGAAATCACGCCTTGCCGACGCTTTCGTCGACTTCCACCGACATGGAGGGGAGATTAAATAAAAAAGACAAGGCCCGACTTGATCCATCCGTTCTATAACACCGAATCCGTGCCCAGTAGATTTTTGTTTCCGTTTTGTACAATATCGCCCGTATGATTTTGATTCCTTTTCGAATATCACATCTTACATCATGCCACCCATGCCACCCATTCCGCCCATACCACCCATGCCGCCCATGCCACCAGGACCGCCGGGACCCTTCTCCTCAGGGGCGTCGACGATGGCGACCTCGGTAGTGCCGAGCAGAGAGGCGACGCCGGAAGCGTCAATAAGACCAGTGCGAACGACCTTGAAGGGGTCCAGAATACCGGCCTGGATCATGTCAACGTACTCGCCCTTGGAGGAGTCGAAGCCCTTGTTGAAATCAGCGCCGTGCTCGTCAGTCAGCTTGCCGACAATGACAGAACCCTCTAGGCCAGCATTCTCGATGATCGTGCGGGCAGGGCGGGTAATGGCATTTTTAACAATGGTGACACCAAGCTGCTGATCAAAGTTGGCAGGCTTGAGGTCCTTGAGAGCGTTGCTCGAGGCCTTGATCAAGGCAGTACCACCACCGGGCAGAATACCCTCCTCAACGGCAGCGCGAGTGGCGTTGAGAGCATCAACAAAGCGGTCCTTCTTCTCACCAACCTCGACCTCGGAGGAGCCACCAACCTTGATGACGGCGACACCACCAGAGAGCTTGGCAAGACGCTCCTGGAGCTTCTCCTTCTCATACTCGGAAGTGGTGGGATCAGCCATGACGCCACGGATCTGCTCACAGCGCTGAGCAAGAGAATCCTTGGAGCCTTCGCCATTGAGCATAATGGTGTCCTCCTTGGTGATGGTAATCGAGCCGGTGGAGCCAAGCATATCGGCGGTGGCCTTCTCCAGCTTGATATCAAGCTCGTCGCTGAAGACGGTAGCGTTGGTCAGGATACCGATGTCACCGAGGATGGACTTGCGGTTGTCACCGAAGCCGGGAGCCTTGATGGCAGCAACCTGGAGCTGGCCACGGAGCTTGTTGAGAATGCAGACGGCAAGGGCCTCGCCGTCAATGTCCTCGGCAATGATAACAAGAGGGCGGCGCTGCTGGGTAGAGACCTCAAGAGCGGGAATAATATCCTGAACGGCAGAGATCTTCTTCTCAGAGAGGAGGATGAGGGGGTTCTCAAACTCGATCTTCTGGGACTTGGCATCGGTAATGAAGTAGGGCGAGATGAAGCCGCGGTCGAAGCGCATACCCTCGGTGACCTCGAGCTCGTCATGAAGAGTCTTGCCCTCCTTGACGGTAATGACACCCTCCTTGCCAACCTTCTCCATGGCGTTGGCAATCATCTTTCCGACGTGATGGTCACCATTGGCAGAGATAGTGGCAACCTGGGCAATCTCCTCGCTGGTGGTAATGTCACGCTTGTTCTTCTGGAGGTATTCAACGACGGCCTCAACGGCAGCCTGGATACCACGGCGGAGATCCATGGGGTTGCAACCGGCAGCGACGTTCTTGACGGTCTCGGAGAAGATGGCACGGGCGAGGACGGTGGCGGTGGTGGTACCGTCACCGGCAGCCTCATTGGTCTTGGATGCGACGTCCTGGAGGAGCTTGGCACCAAGGTTCTCGAACTTGTCCTTCAGGGTGATGGCGCGAGCGACGGTGACACCATCTATGGAATATTAGCCGAGTCGTTCGTTTGAGCTATGAAAAGAAGTTCTGCCTACCCTTGGTGATCTTGGGAGAGCCAAAGCTCGACTCAATGAGGACATTGCGACCCTTGGGGCCGAGAGTCGTGGCAACGGCCCTGGCGAGGGTGTCGACACCGGCCAGGAGAGCGGCACGGCCCTCAACACCAAACTTCAGCTCCTATTTCTAGGTGTCAGTAACCAATCAATTCCTCCTCATCATCTGCAAGGCGCCACCAACCTTGTGAGCGAAGCGAAGCTGCTGGCCGAGGCCAGCACCAGCTCGGAACTTGTTAGAAGCAGAGGCGAGAGCAGAAGCTCGGGCCGGGGAGCTCAGTGCGCGCTGCATGTTGTATATGTGTGTATGGAGGAAGGGGAAGAAAAGAAAAGGGTATATAGTATTACAATGGCACAAGGAATAGTACAACGACTCCGGGAGGAATGAGATGGAGTGCGACGGCAGCTGCAAAAGGACTTGGGGTAGAAGGGGAGAAGAAGAGAAAGGGTGATGTCTCGCCAGCTGCGGCCCCAAAAAATTGTTGCTGGCACTGAGCGTCGGCAAAACACCGTCTTGTCCCCCAATTGCGCTAGTCCTAACTTGGCCTAGTCAGGACTCCAGACTAATTCTACCTTCTTCCATCGGAGACGTCGCCGGCAAGCCGGGTCACCAGCTTCACCTCATAGGAGGTCCCAAAAAAAAAAGAGAGCTTCGTGTGTTTGTTTAGGCTCGTTATCATTGCAATGCTACCTCCTGTTTCTCATCTGCTCTGTTTTCCCAATTGTCGTGTGGTGTACAGCCACTCCTAATCCTAGCCCAAATGGCAAGTTAAGCCAGCTCTTACGGAGGAGCTCTCAGCAATCTCAGGTCTACCATTACATAGCTCATGTGCGCACGCAAATCTCCAAATAGTTGTTCCGGGCTGTAATCCTTCGCAAGCAGCCAACTCATCAAAACTTTCATAATTCTGATCAAGACAAAATACAATCAAAGCATAAGAAGACCGCGCCTTCGTCGGCCTGGGCGGGCGGCATGCCCAAGAAAAAATACAAAAAAAAACACATACAAGAAGCACAATGGTACAAGCGAAATTATGACGTTTTTCTCTGACTAGCAAGTCAGTTTGACGCCACTGTAGCACGGTTGATCTGCGCTTGTCAAAGATCCCGCGTCACCGCCACGTTGCCATGGCTCTGTAATGCCGATTAGCATGGCTAGCTCGTCAGGCGGGACTATACATACATCTCTGGTCTCGCAAGTATCGTCAAAACGTTCGTCCACTGACATAGTGAGCGATTCTTCTTCATGTCTCGCATTTCCGAGGATATGCGAGCAATTGGCCGACATCCCGGAGTCCTCCTGGCACCCAGCAAAGGGCTCGACAGCGGTAAACATGGAGTAATCTGGGGGCAAGGTCATGTAGCCCGAGAATGAGGAAGGGAATTCCGAATGCTGCTTTGCATATGGGTAAAGGCCCATTGGGGAGTATTGGGGGAATGGGGCTTCTTGCCACAGGCTCTGTGTGCTCGGAGCGGAGGTGGGAGCAGAGCCTACCGACGTGAGCGTGTCAAAGGACCGGGTCAAGAGCGGGTTATCCAGCTCGTCGATTTCAGATCTCTGCTTCCGAGTAGGAGAACGGAAACTTCTCATGGGAGACCACTACCAGACTTTAGTTTGCAGATTAGGTACGGGCAGCATTGGAACACTTACACTTTGGTCAAAGCGGCGGAGGCTGTCGGTAACAGACTCATCGGTAACGCTCGGCGGACCGCTACAGACTCTGGACTGCTGTGTGCGTACTGGGCTAGGAGAATCTGGCGTGCAGTCATCTTCATCGCCAGAATGCTGAAATGAGTCTGGGAGGTTGAACCTCAAGTCATCATACTTTTCGTCAAAGCGAACTGGGCGCGTGGTCTCCTTGTCTTCGCCGTCCGGATCGAGGCGCACAAAACCGCGGATTCCAGGGTCAACACCAGAGCCAGAACTCGGTTTTTGGCAAACTGGAGGCACAAGGTGTCCCTCTCTAATTAGTTCCTTCCTGACACGATTAAGGTGCTGGACAACGGCAGCCCCGGAGGAGCCAGGATGGAGACGGTGTGCGATTGAATCCCAGGGCAGAACAATCTTGTGTCTAGTACATTCGTAGTGAAGATGCAAAAGCAGCTTCTCGGCCATTCTAGGACCTGCCCGTAGTTAGCCCCCTGATCAAAACACGGGCAGTTGAAGGCGACTCACGAGCCCACATGATGAGGCTACGGCCAACCACTCGGCCATTGCCACGTTTTTGCTCGTCCGTCGGAAGCGTATGAGAGAAGGAGGAGTCTCTTGCGTGGTTTGGGGTTTTTTGCAATAGATTACTGGCGGAATCGCTTTCCTTGAAGCCCCGCGACTGGGAACGGCGATCGCGAGCTGGCGACCGGCCCGTCTTGGACGGGGTTTTCTTCACGGGCGTGAGACCCATGGCGCAAGTTTTGCGAGTGTGTAGGTTACTGTATGACCTGAATCAGTGATTAACCTTGGTTTTGAAAACAAATTGGTCTGTGGTCGTCGATTGTGTAGACAGCCGTCTCTGCTCTGGAGACTTACAAATCGTCGGCAACGGAGCGATGAGCGCGAGGGACTCGAGTAGATGATCGATTTGCAAGCTTTCATATGAATAAAGTGCAACAAAAAGTACGACGGGTAGATCCAATCAAGAAATCAGTTCTTTTGAGCAATCGAACGCAGAAAAACATGCGGGACAAACGGCAGGTGGATTAACCGACAAGGACAGCAACCAGGATATTCATTTGTGTTCGTGAATAATAAACCAGAAGAGGGGTAAGTGTATAGTAGATTTGATAGATGGACAGGAAAATAAGCAGATGCCTGAATACTCGGGCCACTGCGTTTGATCTTCCGGCAGGCAGAGGCAGGCCGTTGCCAGCTGGCAGAGGTGGAGCAGAGGTTGGAGGTTGAAGGTTGGAGGCTGGTAATCAAGTGCCAGTAAGTTCGTGAATGATTTTACTCTCATAAGCTTCAAATTGGAAGACGATCTGCTCCAGCCTGCCATCTGTTTCAACAAAAACGGCAATCCAGGACACTCGGAGCAGATCTGGGCCAGTCTGTTGCCACAAACAGGATAAGCTTCTTCCTTTCGCCTCTCAAAAGAGCGGGAGAGATTAGAAATTTGATTTCGCTGTTCTTCGTAGCAAACGAGGTGAGGTCAAGGGCACAAACGAAGCAGCGGTTGTCGTCCACCACTTCGGCTCGACGCACACACCGGAGTCAAGGAAAGGGAGTGCTTTCAGGAGACTTAATGCAGTAACAATATGTAGACCGAATTATTGATTTCTTCCGAGTAAAATAAAGGATTGTGTTAGTCCTGTCCAATATAACGCCTGCTACCCAAGCAACAAACCCCCCCCCCCCCCATATCTCAAGCTCGTCCCCCCTCGGTTCTCCATTTAGACAACATGTATTTTACCAGTCTTGGCTTCCTAGATTTAATGTTCGACGGGCGATGTCTTTTCGGGCTTCGAGACTCGAAGCAAAATTGCGGTTGGATACTGCAATGCCGCTCCTGCTGTTGCCACGCTGAGGGGGATGGAGAAGCTCCCGAGAAAGGTTGTGGGACTTGGCAAGAATTCGACCTCTGTCGGGCATTGACTGTGTGCGAAAGTTGACTGGAAATGGAAGAAAGCAGTTCGAGATTGTTGGAGGCAGTGACCGAGATGTTTTGAAGAGCATGTAGTTGCTGCTCGAGTCGGTCGTTTTGTGTCTGGAGATCGGTATTCTCGGAGTCCAACCGCCGGATATTTAGTCGTAGAGGTCCCATGGCTTCCGCCAGCTTTTGCTCAATGACCTGCTCGATGATGGTGTAAATGGTCTCTGAGACGCCCGACAGGTCAGGCTGCACACTCTGCTTCTCCGGCTCCGGGCGTCCCCTGCGATAGCTCGGCGGCAACTCGTGATGCTCATCGGTGACAGGCGCATGACAGTGTGTAGAGGTCGGCAGCTCCGCGTAGCCAGACTTGGGCGACTCGGGGGGTGTAAGCAGGCCTGAGCCGCTCGTCGCCGTGGGGTTGAAGCGCGCGTTGGGCAGCACGAAGCCATCGTGGTAGTCCGCAAAAAGGGCCATACTGTCAGAGTAGGAGAATGTCGTCTTGACAAAGAAGCACTGAAGGGTTTGAAGATGCCAGAAAAAGAAGAAGCTCTCGCCATCGCAGGCCGGGGGAACATGATCTTGTATATGTCCTCTTTACCGCTTCTTTTCGTCACAAGTCTTGAAAATCTCACGAAAAAAAAGGACAACAATACTATTGATCGCGTTTACCACCCCATGCAAGGGACACCGACTCCAGCATCCTATTGTCCCCCCTCTCGCCGGCGCTATTCATAAAGTGACTGGCGCCGGATGGGGCCGACGGACCCAGCAAGTCCTGCAGGCACCTTTCCATTGAATGGCGGCTTCAATGAGGCTCGTCCATTTGTAGGCGGCTTCTTGTTTCAATTCGCTGTTTATATAGCATCTTTAGTTGATACTTTTCGCAGTGTGGAATAGTGGTGGTAAACCAAACCCCGTGACATTCATCTCGACTACCAAAAAGGCGAGTCGTAAATTGCATGTAGTACTTGGCTTTTTAATAAAACTTGCTCCTTTGCCTTGCGAGCATAACCCACGAAGTAAAACAAAAGGCCGAAAAATTATGACTGCCCCTGGCGCGAAATCAAGTTCCAGATTCTAATTATTCCCGTAACTACCTGACAAAAAACCATTGCCAAAAATTCCCTTGTTCCCAGTAGCTCCGTGTCAGAGCTTGAGCAGTTTGGCGATGGCGGCTGCTGCCGACTCTCTCTCAGAGATTCTCTCTCAATCTCGAGTTGGTTTACTTAGACTTCATCTTCTTCCCCGGCGTTGGCATTGCCATTCAGTTCCTCCGGGGCATCTGGACGACTACTGTTAGCACGGACAGATTGGTGTAGTGTGTTTGCCCTAGTGAGTAGTACCGGAAAGGGAAGACTCGGACTCGGCCTTGATATCCGGCTCTGCCTCGTCTTCCTCCTTGACCGTGGCCTTGGTCTTCTTGCTACGGGATGGGGCGGCGACCTTGGCCTTCTTCACGGCAGGTGCCTTGCGCGCAGAAGGGGCAGCGCGTGCCTTGCGCTTGTTGGCCGCGGGCTTGGCGGGCTCCTCATCGACGTCGGGAGCGTCGGTGGTGGTGGTGGTGGTGGTTGGCTTGCCGCCGGGCACGACATCAAAGGACTTGAGAAGACGCTCATATCGCTTGGCTCTGGTACAAACTTTCCGTTAGGCTTCACGTCTTGTGGCGGGAAATCGAGCGAAATGGCGGGCTGTGGAAGTTGAAGAAGATGGGGGGACTTACGCAGCGCCCCTGGAGACGATTTCGCACTCCTTGGCAACGAGATCAAAGTTGATCTAGGTAGCGAGTTAGCATCAAGGAAACTGGGGATGGACTCCAAAGCAGGACACACACACCTTTCCATTGCTGCTATGGCCGATGCATGAAACGAGGAAACGGACGTTTTCCTTGGCATCAATCTTGCTGGACATGGTGGCGGTTGCGATGGTAGGAACTGTTCTTGCTGGAAGAGTTTAATGATGATGGAAGAAAAGGAAGAAATGTCGGAAAAATGTGGCGAGAAGAGCTCAAGGCAAATGTATGGCGCAGGCTGTTGTAGCAGAGAATGTGAGAGGCAGCAAGCAGAGTGGGCGAGGGAGGCAGTCGCGGATTCGGAGAACGGCAGGCTTGAGGCGGTGTGTGACGCAGAATAAAGTGATAAACACGAGGCGGGAAGCTTTTTGGTGTGAAACGCGACAAAGTGAAAGTAGAGGTGAAAGTAAAGGTGAAAGTGAAAGTGAAGGGCGGAGCACGCAGCTCCCTCCGGAGCAACGGACGTAGATACCTACACATGATGGTGTCTACTTTCTTCTTTCTTTCTTTTGTCTTCTGTCTTTCTTCTTTGCTATGTTTTTTTAAGTGACTGTGTTTTCTTCTGTACTTTGTCTTTCTTGGTCACTTTGTCTTTTTTCCTTGCTCTATCCTTCTTCTTCCTCTTCTTCACTCTGGTTTGCTTTTTTTTTTCCGAAGATATCAGGTCGACAGTTACTACGCCTCCTCGCCTTTACTAAAGTTTCTGTCTTGGCCGTGAATCTCTGTCTTGGTCATTTCCCCTCGTCCCTGTCTACTCAAAAATACCCCCACGTGCTCTACAACGTTCCCAGTGTCCGAAACCCTCTCTTGTGAAGTAGCAAAATCATCCAAATAACTCCCACCCTCCCATTCCATTCCCGTTCGCTTGCCCCAAAAAACCCCCATTGTGATTCAATCGACTTAAAACTCGTCGTTCGGCCCACCACGCCCAGCAGCGGCCACAGCCGGCCTCTACTCCTCCTCCTCCGCTTCCTCCTCCTCCTCCTCCTCTGGCTGCTTCCTCTTCCGACCTCCACCGCTTCTCTTTACAACCTTGCACGGACTGGCCGTCTTCTTCGTTTTTATCGGGGTAACTGGAGCACTGCCGCCACCGCTAGGGCGTGGCTTGTTCCAGCCGAGGCGGACGCACATTTGGCGGTAACGCTCCTTGATGGACTTGGCGTTGCCGAGCGAGGCGTCGACGGCGGCCGTGTCCCAGTCAACGTCGGGCTTGGAGTTTAGGTTGGCAAAGATGGCCTTGAGGATGCGCATTTCGCCATCTGTGAGAACCATTTTTTCCTCGTTGGCCATGATGTTCCTGAGAGGGGGCAAAGATATTCTGGGAAGGACAGAGTTGGGGTTAGCCTGACTTGGTTGTTGGGCTCTGGTAATCAATGAGTAGATGGAACTTACTGGAGATAGGATAGGTAGAAAACAATTAGATGTTGCAGATGGAAGAGTTGAATGGAGGGCGGCTGAGGTGTATGTGAATGGTGTGGGTGGGCTGGTGTAAGTGAAGGTGGCAAGTCGGAGAGGACGTGCCAGGAAAAATGCACAAAGTTTGTCGTTACATAGGCGCTCCAGGGAACAGAGCTGCAAGTGCAATTATTCTCAGCACTAAATTCTCGGACATTTGGTACGCTGCAAAGGTCTGTCTACTGGCCGATCCTGGCTTACATGCGTCTATCGCATGCAGGTCACCTTTACAAACAGCAGCACTACCGGACGTGGTTTGTTTCTCCTTATAATCATTTATGTCGTCTACCGTTACTGCTATCATAGCAAAAGTATAAAATTCTCAAAATCGAGTCAAACTCCAAGCAATGCGTAGCAAAATAGCATCGTGATGATCCAAATCATAGTTTGTCTTGGCTGAGGCGTCCCCATCTAATCCAGGAGCGCCAACTTGGCAGCAAGAAAGATGACGCCCAAGACACGGCGGTAGTAGCATCCAGACCACTCGTCTCCTCAAAAAAGGGAAAATTCTTCCGTCGGCGTTTCGCTCTTGATGTTGGACCAGTCGCCCCCCTCCTCCTTGACAACGGGCGTCACGCTCTTCTCCTTGATCGCGCGGAGCACCTCATTGTAGTCTTCCTCCTCGGGGTCCTTCTTGGTCTTGCGGCCGCGGCCACCACTGGCAGGCGCCTTGCGGGGCTTGGTGACTTTGGTGGGCGTCGCGGGCAGGTCGCCGGGCTGCTGCGCGGCCTTGCCGGCCTTCTTGGTCGGGCTCTCGCCGTCGAAGCCGTACTTTCTCTTGATCTGTCCGAAGCGGACCTAGTAGAACATCTTGTGTCAGCTGGGTCGACAAAGAAGTTGGGGGACTGGGAGCCTAGCTGGGCAAGGATGGGCAAGGCGAAGACGTACCTTGGCAACGCTGGCATTCTTGAAACCGGTAGTCTCGGCGACAGCGTCCCAGTCAATATCTCCCTTGTTCTTCATATGCTGGATAATGTTGAAGAAAAAGATGGCCTCGGAGGCGGTAGGGCCCGGCTTGCCGTCCTCGGCCATGGCTGCTATCGGTGTAAGCGGAGTGTAGCAGGCTTGGGGGGGAGATGTTGGGGGACGGAAAGGGATGGTCGAATTCGGGGAGCTTACTTGAGTCGAGATTGCGGGAGATTCAGGTAAAGAGGGATAGAGAGATGCGGTTTGATTGAGTGGTTCGAGAGTTTGTTGTAAAGAATAATGGAAATGTGTTGCAGTGTGTGTGGTGATGCGAAAGGAAAAGAAGAAGAAAGAAGAAGAAAAGATTTAGGAAGTAAAGGGGGCAAGGGGAGAAAAGGTGTGCTAAGGCTTTCTTGCAAGAGAAACGAATAAAAGAAGTGAACTCGTCAGCGGATTAAAGTGCCGTGCTAAGTGGTGAGTGAATGAACCGAAAGTGAGGTGCATTTCTTAGCAGCGGCAGGCAAGTTACAACCCGCCGGCCACGAGGCGGAAGGTAGCCTAGAATGCAGGATTTTCTATTCGCGAGTTTTCTACTGTTTGTACTTGCAATACTACCATATGTTTATGTAGCTTAAAATCTAGGAATTCACTTGCCAAGTTTCAGTGTAGTTATCGAAAGTACTGGTGTCATTGCAGTAGAAAAGAGAAGGATGAAAGACTGAATATTGTACATTTCTTTTGTTTCCTGCTCGGGCCAATAAGAAAGAGCGCAATCCTAAAAAAACGCCAGATTTTTTTCCATGAATAAACAACGCCGCTCAGCAAAAAAGATGAGAGTGCGACCCCGGTGCTGGCTGGGCATCTAACGTAGATGGGCAGCAGCCTGGCTGGGCATCTGACGGAGACGAGCAGCAGCCTGGCAGGGCGGGAAGCACACAGCATCGGTGCATGTTTTTTGTGGTTTTTTGTCATTAGGTCGTAACAAGAGAAATAGCCTGAAGAGAAGCAACCAACGTCTGTGTAAAGCAACAGCAGCAGCAAGCCAGCAAAGGTTTCCCTCTTTTATATTACATCAAATCTCCGTAGCTCGTTCCTCTTTGGTTTGGTGGGGTCGTAGTGAGAGAAGTGTCATCGCTTCACCTCATCGCATTATATGTAATCGAAGGGAGGGGTGTCCTGGGGTATCATTAAAAGTGTCCGTCCTGGAACTGGTCGTTCCAGAGCGTCTGTGTGGCGCTCAGGTCGTGCTGATCAAAGGCGGCGCCGGGATCGAAGTTGCCCATGTCGATGGCGGCTTCAAAGGCGGAGAAATCGGGCGAGCTCTCGAGGCCGGGCTCCTGCTTCAGAAACACGGGACTCGCGTCGAGGCCGCTTCCGGAGTGCTGGGGGATCTGGTGGATCGCCGAGGGGTGGAGGGAGAGCGGCTGCGTCATATCGTCGCTGCAGGGCGTCATGAATCGGGGGTTGTCAAAGTCGTCGCCGAGGTCGCCCATGTAGGGGGAGACGTCTGGGGTGAACTGCAAAACAGGGACGAGTGTTGGCCAACGGTGTGCTTCACGAGGACCGCGGCGGGGGCGGCGGCGGGCTCGCCCAAACATACCTGAGGATACGAGGCCAAGCTGATGCTGGACTCGGACTTGACAATGCTGTCCTTTTTGGCTTGTGATTCGCGGCGGGACGACGACTTGGAGACCTTGCCCGACTTTTCGCCGGAGCTGCGTCTCTTGTTGGGCTCGTGGCCGGTGATGGTGGAACGGAAGCGTGAGTATCTCATCCTGGCGGCATGACCATTCGTAATGGGCTGCAGCAGGACGGGATCGTTGGCGACTTGGGTCCAGTCAATCTGGGGGAAGAAGAGTTAGCAGGGTGAAGGAGGCGAGGACGCGGAGGGTTGGAAGGAACTCACATCCTTGAGATTCTTTTGCTTGAGAATGGCAAAGAGGAATCTCGCCATGGCGTTGTCCGCGTTGGAGGTCATGGTTGGTGCAAGAGTATGGTGGGCGTATGAGTACAAAGCAAGGAGAAGCAGGTCTGAAGTTGGGCGAGCTGAGGTTGATATGGGATCGAGGCGCAGTGGTCAAGAAGGCGGTGCTGGGGCCCGGTCAGGCACTCGAGTTCATGAGACAAGAACAGGCGGGAGAAATGTAAGACTAGCTCGTATCCGAGAGACTCAATGTTGCGTGAACGAGGCGTACAGAGTGTTGCCAAGGGAGACAGTGGTGGAGGAGGGCGTGAATGCAGGTCTGGTTGAGGTGGAGGATGATGGGATTGGGCCGAGGCGACCAAGTGATGAGTCTTGGATCGACGGTAGAATGAAAGCTACAAAAGTCGGGGCATTGGAGGAGAGATGAATGATTCAAGTATGACGGTCAGGCACGGGGGAAAGGGGAAGAGAAGAGAGAGAGAGAGAGCATCGAGAGGCGGCAAGGCACCAAGGCCAGCCGAAGCACTTATATAGGAACACGGCGTACTACAAGGCTGGTGGGCCGGGGTGTCGTCTCGCATGGCATGGGAGGCAAGGATGGCAGGGACTAGTGCAGGTGGGAATTTGGGTTTTGAGGCTTTGAGATGGACACGCCCTAAATTATAATGACATGGATTACCTGGTAGTTGTCAGTGGTTTTGGTTGATGGTGGTGGGTGGTGTGAAGAGAGAGAGCAAAAGCAAAAGGGCGTGTAATAAAGAGGAAGAGAGCGGGGAGTCGACACTCCGGGCGTCCACTCCTGGGGCGTTGTTGCCTGGCCTGGTGTCACTAGCGGCAGAAGAGCGGCGCCCCACGGGCTGCTGAGAAATGCGCTGCTGTTGCGTTGTTGCCGCTAGTTAACAGAACACTTTAACATTATTAAATAAACTCCCCCAGAAACTCGTCTTCTTTCGCTCCACCGCGTAAAGTGGTTGAGAGACGAGAGACGGCATCATCAAGCACATGCTCAACAACTACAAACTCAAACGTCAAAGCTTGCTTGGAGAACAGCCGTTTCTCAATTGGCCGCGTAACACGTACCATCTCGTTGAACGGTAATTTGTACAATCATCCGGCGTCGCAATCCCTCGTCGTGGCCTTGCGCCCACCGCCAAAGCGAAGAGCTTTTGCTGCACTTTATTTTATTTTTACCCCTTGTCCTCCGTAGCTACATACTTATTCGCTTCCCATATTCCTGGTCCTGAAACCCAGTGTGACTCATTCAAAGACCCATCGAATCGGACCTAGGAAACCACAGTGGGGAGGGCGTGCGGCAACCGCACCCGTCCATTCCGGGCGCCAGACATGGCCCCCCCAACAGCTTTCTTTGTACCTCGCCCGCCAGAAAATGCTGCGTTGGTGACTTTCCCACAAGATCTATCGTAGAATAGAAGCCCCGGAGGAGATCTGATAAAGAAGAACCGTTGGTCTTGTCGAGTTCCAGAAAGGCAGCTGTTAGTTCCCGGGGGGGGGAACATGTTCGCAAGTGCTTGCCGTCATCTTCCTGGTGCCCAATTCATTCCTCCTTTTTTCTGTTTCCCTTCGTCACTCATTTCTCATGGTGGTGGTGGTGTGTGGTTTCTCCTAGTGTGGCGGACCCATGGGTAGGTCGGTTGATGCGCAAGCAAGAAGCTCAGCCTGCCTGGTCATTGAAAAGAGGGGTACCCAAAAAAAAAAGAAGAGAGCATCACCAGTTTTTTGCTCGTCGAGATTTGCTGTTCAACATCATCCACGAGGCCAAAAAAGACGAGGAAAATGCGTCTGCGTATGGGAACGCCATTTTGGACGCATTGACGACGCTTTTGACCATATTCATGGTCGCAGATACTCTCCAGAGGTGATCCGCGGCGAGGATGGGCTCGTCCGCCAACACTCGGGAGACGCGACGGGGCGCGCACTCCTACGACCCCTCCAGTGTCCGAGTCCACCGCCAGGTTGCCACGAACACACGTGATGGTGCTAGGCCGCTTCGGGCAGGCTGCGCGGCGAGCGAGACAGCGCCAGATATGGTAGGTACCTTGGTTGCTCTGCACGCGGCGCTGCCTCGTCAACTCATATCACATCACACGCCTTGCCTTTCCACATCGCAGAGTTTTGCTACTCGTTCCATTTTCCACCCAGTGTGTGATTACGTTGGTGAATGACGCATTCCATCGTGGACGAAAGGAGAATGAACAAAAATTGGCGAGACCTCGTACTGCCTAATGAAAGCTTCTCTCTCGTTGACTCGTCGTCGTCGCACTTGCAGCAGGGCTGTACAAATTACAGGGAGCACGAACCGCCCAAGCTGCACAAGCTTGCACAAACGCCGCGTACAGAGATGGGTACTTGTGTTCGATGCCGGCTCATAGGTGGCCGGCTAAACCGCGTCTGAATCCCGGCTATGCCAGAGCATCATCCGTGTACAAACCAGCATAACATTTGAACAACACCAGAATCTTGGCCAAAAAAAATTCTACTTTCAAAATCAAGTAAAAACAAATGCCGTACTCTGCCCGTTCCTTTTACCAACCCCTCATCAGCCCGTCCAAGGTCTGCCGCCCCCAGGCCGCAGCCTCGCCTGGTAACGCAACCATCACTGAGCCTACCTACCCGTCGCCGGTACGTACCTCCTGTTACGGCCCACGCACGGGCCAGTCGTCCCGGATCCGCTCTCCTCTCTCTCTTCCAGAAATCCTTGCCCACCCGCGCGCCCGTGGCACTGCAGGCGCTGCAGGCAGTTCCGTCGTCGCCCAGCCCAGCCCAGCCCCCAAAAAAAAAGGAAGAAAAAAAGGGCCAGGCGAGAGGGGGACAAAAAACACCTTGGCCCTCGTGTCACGCACTACCAATTTTCCCTCGCACCCAGCCGCTGCTCCTTAACAGACTCTACCTGGTCAGCTACCTCCTCGCCTGCCCACACCCACGAGACATTCCCGCCAAGTCAGTCATCAAGTTCAAGTCACTTCACCAGTGACCGACCACCCACCTAGGGCGCGCCGCACCACGCTTTTGGGGCAAAAAAGAAGCCTCGTCGTCCGCCTTCTCTCCCCCTCCCTCTCTTTTTTTGCGCCGTGCTTTCTCCTCTGCGCGACGCTGGCCCCAAAGGTCCATCTGACCTGACCCACTGAGCCCGGCCGCTCAGCCCTCTTCCACTCTCTCTCGTGATGGCTATGAATAACAAGAACTGGAATGACCGCGCCGACAAGGACCTGTTCTTTACTATTTTGACCGTCAAGAACATTGGCGTAATAAGCGGTGCCGAATGGACCATGATTGGCAACTACATGCGTAGCATGGGCTACGGCTTCACAAACGAGGGATGCCGGTATGTAGAATCCCATCTCACCTTGGCTTACATCCTTGGACTTGTTTATCAAACTCGCCACTTTCCATTTATCCCAATCTCATCCTTCTCCTCGTTAGTTCTATACACACAATTGCTGCTTCAACTCGTCAGGTTCCCCTCCCCCCCCCCCTCACCTTGACACACATCTCGCTTTCCACCACATGGCCACCACCGCAAGCCATATATGCAATGCAACCTCAAACCAATAGCGCCTCATCTTGATTCAAACCAGCCGTCACTAAAACCCTCCCGTCCCAGGCAACACTTTCAAGGTCTGCGCCGTGCCACCAACAAAATCGAGGCCGCGCCGCCCCCGGCGGACCTGGCTCTGCGCAAGGTCGACCCTAGCTTGAATCCGATCACCCGCCGCCCCGGTCCAGGACGTGGCCGGCCCCGAAAGTCCGAGGGGGATGTCGGCGAGGCGGGCCCGGCCTCCACGCCGGGCGGTAGCGCCACGCCGCTCGATCCCAGCATGAGCATATCGCCCGGCGTCGGCCCAGCGCACAGCAACAACAGCAACCCGCCACACGCGCAGCCGCAGGCCATGGAGACGGGCGGCAGCGGTGGCGACCCCGAGCAGCAGCAGCTCGCCATGGAGGATGAGCAAGCTCTCGCCGCCTCGGCCGGCGCTCCCTTTTCGAGCGGAGCGGTGGAACACGGGGCCGATGCCACGGACGAGCACCACCCGTCGAAGCGGCAAAGACTCGACGCCGACGCCATGGACCACGAGTCGGCCCTCGACGACGAGGCTGTGCTGGCGCTGGCCGCGCACAACGGCACCACGGCCAGCGACTACCCAGAGTAAGCAGACACTTGTGTCACCCCCGGTTTCTCTTGTTCTCATGTTGACAATTGGTACCACATTAGGTTTGGCTATGGCGATCCCTAGGCCCCCCCATCTTGCATCGCGATAACATGCAACGAGAATACGAGCAATGGTTTGGGTCTTATCGGCGTTTTGGGTTACTGCTTTTCCTTGTTCTTGGGGTATACACGGCGCTCTTCCATTTCGCAAATATTGCGGGGGCTGTATTTTGACAGCCAGGCGCAACGCATTTCCTACCCACCCCTTCTTTCCAATTCTCTGTCTATACATTAGAAATTTAGGATCGCAAAATGCTGCTAGTAGCTCTGTCTGGTCAATGGAGGACGAGGATGTTTTCTGTTTTTTTGTCGTTGTTTTCTTGTCCTAGACTTTGGTATACAGGACCTGTTCTGGGAAAATGAATACACACAATGAGTTGCAACATGTTGTCCATGGCCGGGGTGATTGACCAGATTCGTCAGTATCTATCTTGCCTCTGCTACTTGGTCTAGAGCTGGGTCTTCAAGTCCAGTAACAGGCCATTTGTCAAGACGTTGTGCCGTCTGCAGCCGAAGTTGATCTGCGAAAGTGAATTGCCAAGTTGCAGCAAGTGTTGTTTTGTTTTGCCTTGCAAACAGAACACCATTGCTCCGGCGCCACTCGGCGTTTGCACATTACAAACGCCTCAATTCAACAACTTCATAACAACAAGAGAACTCCAAGTTTCGATCCTTTCTTCCCCCTTGCCTCTACGCTACGATCTTTGTTCCCATCGTCTCGTTTCTATCCACAGCATCTCACATTACCCCGTCCCAAATCGCCATCATGCCCAAGCAGGCCGGCAGCTGGGAGAATGCAGACTTCCTCATGGAGCTGTCCCTCGCCCTTTTCCAAGTCGCCAGCAACGGCGGCGCTCTGAGCGCCCAGGCCAAGAGTGCCGTCGAGGACTATCTCAAGGCCCAAGGCCACGATCAGTCCTGGGAGTCTGTCCGGTAAGCCATTTCTCAGCAGTTTCCATTCATCCATTGATTGCCATAGGCTTCTGTTGGATGCTCTTCTTTCCGATTCACACACACACCTTGCTCTATTTCTGCCAATCTTCACCCTGTTTGCCTCATGCGGCTGTCTATTTGGCGCCTGCTTTCTCCAAGAGGCGGTGAATTCAGCGGCTGCTTCTGCCACCGCACCCCTCTCGCCTGCGAACCCAGGCTTCCCTGCTCCCTTTGATCCCTTCATCTTCCCGTGCCGCCATCCTCGCGCTCTCTGGCTCTTCTTCTTTCCCGTAAACATCATTCAACCAGCGGAAGCCTCTCTCGCCTCTGCGATCGTCTCCCCTTCTCCTCTTTGCCTCTACTTTACTCGACCCAGACGTAGCTGTCGTCATGGCCCGGACCCAGATGAAATGGGACGCCTCAGCCCACGAGGCCATGCTCATCTGCATAGTCAAACACTGCGACCTGAACGCCAATAACATGGCCAAGGTCCTGGACGAGATGAAGAACAGGGGTTACGAGTTTACAGAAAATGCCTTCCGGTATGACACTTCCTGCCAATGGCAACGCACCAATCTCCATTTCCTGTTTCCCTTATCCACTCAAGTTTCCTATACCCTTCTCTCTGCACTCACCTTCTCCCCACTTCCTACCACTGCACCTTTTCACTGTTCCATCACGCTCGTCTCGCGATCCTCAACACCAACCTTCCGTCTATTCCCTTGCCCTACAATCTCCTCGTTACCCAAACCACCGCTTCTTCGTCATGTCTGAGCAACCCGCTCGTGGCTGGAACGCCAGTTCTCATGAGGCTCTGCTCTTGGCCATGATTGAGGAGTTCAGACCAAACAAGGAGAAAGTCACTGCAATCGTGCAGCGGATGAGCGACTTGGGCTTCAACTACACATTTCATGCAGTCAAGTACTCTGCCACCCCCAATATCCCGTTGTCTTTGCTCTGCATTGCTCTACCGTGCTGTACATGACGCCGCTTCCCTCCAAGCTAACCACCGCTCTCCTGTCTAGTCAACACATCCAGAAGCTCCGCAAGACTCGCGATACTTCTGCTCTCGACGGCTCTGCCGCCTCTGGCGATGGCTCCAAGGCCTCCACTCCGCGCAAGGCTACGCCGCGCAAGACCCCGGCGTCGGGCCGCAAACGAAAGGGCGCCGTTGACGACGACGCAGACGATCTCGGTCGCGACCTCAAGGTTGAGGACGAGGAGGGCGCCACGACTACCCCTTCCAAGCGCATCAAGAGCGAGTAAGTGCTGCCCCGGCGCCTATACCCTATTGTTTTGTAGATGCTAAATTTATGTCCTGTTGGAAGGCCTGCCTCTGAAATTCGGGACTGGAGGAAAGCGGCGTTCCTGCTTGGCGAATCCTAAGTCGCGCGCCCTGGCCGGTGGTCTTGTCGTGATGCAACGACGCGCGCAGTCGTAGATGGCACCGACCATTGGACGGATAATGGGATATGCTACGAGTTACGGAAACGACTAAGAATGAAATACGATGCTCTATTTTGCTTTGCTACATACTGGGTCGTGGGCATCGAGATACTGGAATGGTTTTACGGGAGAAGAAAGATTGGATGAGGCTGAGAAAATATTGGGTATTGGAGGAAGAGTCCGCTAGAGCTCAGCATCAGCATCAGAACTAGCACTTGACCTCAAAAAGTCTCTGGATCATTAAATCATGGTGAATGTGTATGCGATTGTCAGCTTCGGTCACCTTTTCGAGGTAATGTGTCGCCATTTTGGCCACGTCTGATGTGCTTTCTGGCGACCCTGACGGATGGTCTCGACCTCCATTGTCCACGAGGCCAGCTGCGCGACAAGATAGCAGAAAAGCCCCTTGCGCCATTCAGGCATCTCGCAATGACTTTCATAATGAGCTTTTTATGGCGACTTGCATCGATTTGAAGATAAAGGACACATGTGCCGACCCAGCGGCACGCCGACCATGGCCGCGGGAGAATGTTGTAGGGTGGAAATTTTTTGTCACGGTTCATTGGTCTCGTTACGGCGCCACGCCTTAATTCTGTGTCGTAGTTTCTAGAAGTATGTGTTTAACATGGTTACTGGCCGTATTTCAGCTTTTTTTTTTGTTCTGTTGTTATTCTCGGTGTGTGTCAGCAAATATGCTTGAGAAGTAAGTCCTGTAATACACCCATGTTAGTGACTGTCCCAAGTTTTCGATCATCACCACACATTACTACCGATAGAGACGTAACCTCGCTTAACTTACCCGGTATACGTAGAATAGAGAAATTTACTGACTGAGGCATTTTTATCACCCATATCGCCCACAGGCATGGGAGTAGTAGCATTTCTTTATTGGAAAAAATGTGCCGGGTAGGCCACACCGACGCCAACGGGCGCGTGGGCCAAGCGGTCTGCGAGCGTGAAGTCCATTATATACGTACATAATCTGAACCTTATATAAGCTCGGGCTAATGGTCTAGGGGTATGATTTTCGTTTTGCATACACAGGGATACCGATGACCTCCGCACCGCAAGGTAGTAGGATTAGGTCCCCAGTAGTTCACTACGAAAGGTCCGGGGTTCAAATCCCCGTTGGTCCACGCATATTCTTTTTGCTTTCGCTTTTCGCGCTTTTTTGGGTGCATAGGATTGATCTTTATTATATAAATTTATTTATCATTGTTATCTTTTTATTGAATTTATCTCCACCCTGTCCCTTTTCACATCAACTTTATGAATACAAGTCAAGCTCGCAGCCTTGATTAGTCCGGGAGATGCAGGGCCTGCCCTTTGTACAGGCGTCCGGACTGAAATCTTGAGATGTTCGGTGATGTTCTCCCAGCTGGGCCTGTTTGCCAGTTCGCCACCACAAACAAGGTGGCTACCTAGAATGTCATGAAATTGACCCCACCAGGATCGCGACATTTATTTCCAGGAGACGCTGGCGACCGCGTTCAGTGACATGCGCCGCACAAAGCCAGCCAATCACCCATCCTTGCGATACGATACGATGGCCTCGGATTGCTTTGCCATCACTTGATCAAACCAAGCCACCCGGCCTCACCTCGTCGCACTTGAAGATTGACCTTTGGATGCGACACGTCAGGCAGCCCCCTGTCCCGACAAGGCTGCGCCCAGGCCGCGTCGTCGTCACTCTGGCGTTGAACATCCGGTTGCGTTTCCGTTTCGGCGTTTGCAAGTCCTGTTAGAGAATTCTCGCGCCATTATTTTCTTTCCAGATTTCGATTTTTTTTTCTATGGAGAGAAACTAACTATTTCTAGAGGTTGATGGGGACGGATCGACGTTGCTCGCGGGTCTGGCAGTGGATGATTGGCCGACGGTTGGCGATCCTCGCGGCTTTTATGACAGCCCCCAAGGCTGTAGAGGAAAATTTGCATACATCAGCAGTAGACAATAGGAAAGCTCCGAATCCGACGAAAGCTCAATGTGCGACGCTAATTCCATCGCTCGCCGGATTCTTTGTCTTGTTCCGTCACCGCCTGGGCCATGGCGAGAGTGAGTGCGGGCGCTCTTGCAGTATAAGTATAGACTCGTAGGATGAAGAATCCAAGTCTAGGAAATGAAGCCACACGCCACAGAGTATCATCATGAAACTGCACTTGCCCTTGCTGTTCCTTTCCTCGCTGCTCGCACCAGGGGCTGCCATATTCCCTGGCGATGCAGTTGGCATCACGACAAAGCACATCAGCGGCCAGCCGGGATTGTCCATTACCTACAAAGAGACCAAGATCTGTGAAACGAGATCCAAAGCCTGGGCTGGATACGTGCACATGCCCTCGTGGTACCTGAGCGAGATCCAGAGCGCGGAACCATACAATGTATCCATGTTTTTCTGGTACTTTGAGGCTCGAAACTCGCCGTCCAATGCAACTACCGGTATATATCTAGCCGGAGGGCCCGGCGCATCGTCCATTGGCGATCTTGTTACAGGAACTGGATCGTGTTACATCAAGGCAGACTCCAACAGCACCGAAGACAACCCTTGGTCCTGGAACAACGACATGAACATGCTGTACATTGACCAGCCAGTCAGCACAGGCTACTCGTACACCAAGCGAATCCAGTCCACCCTTGACCTTCTCTTCCTCGGCAACCCAGTCACCGAGACCGGCATCACGCCCGTCGCAGCATACAACGGCTCCGTGCCCCCCGAAAACACCACGTTCCTCCACGGCACCTTTTCCGAGCAGAACCCCGCCAAGACGGTCAACAGCACGCTGTCCGCGGCCAAGACGCTGTGGCGCTTTACGCAGGTCTGGTTCCCGCACTTTGCCGAGCACAAGACTCGCAGCAAGCGCGTCAGCCTCTGGGGCAACTCGTATGGCGGCTTCTACGTGCCCGCGACGGCCGCGTACACGGTGCGGCAGAATGCCCGGATCCGTCGCGGCGCGCTCAACGGCACCGTGATCCCGATCGACGCCGTCGGCTGGACAAACGGGTGCGTCGACATGCTCTACCAGGGCGAGTGGTTTCCCGCGCAGGCTTACAACAACACGTACGGCCTGCAAGTCATCACCAAGGCCGCGTACGAGGCGGCGCTGCAGAACTTTACGAAGCCCGGCGGCTGTCGCGACCAGATTTCGGAATGCCGGCGCCTCGGGGACCTCTACGATCCGGACCAGCGCAACACCAACGCCAACGTGACAGCCGCCTGCGTCGGCGCCACGCTCTACTGCTTCGGCCACGTCCTGGGCGCGTACGAGGCGGCCAGCAACCGCAGCGTCTTTGACATGGCGCACCTCAAGCCCGACCCGTACCCGGCGTCGTACGCCAGCGGCTTCTTCAACCAGGCGTGGGTGCAAGCGGCGCTCGGCGTCGGCGTCAACTACACATCCTCGTCGCTGCTGGCCAGCCGTGCGTTCTTCTACGGGACCGGCGACCCGGTGCGCGCGAGCGGCCTCGCGCTGCTGCAGGAGCTGCTCGACGGCGGCGTCCGCGTCGTCATGATGTACGGCGACCGCGACTACCGCTGCCCGTGGAACGGCGCCGAGAAGCTCAGCCTGCGCCTGCAGTGGGCGGGCGCCGCGGCGTTTCGCCGCGCGGGCTACGAGCACGTCCAGACGAGCGGCGGGTGCGCGAGCAGAGGCGTCGTCCGGCAGCACGGGAATCTGTCCTTTGCGCGCATCTTTGATGCTGGGCACAATGGTGAGTTTTTTTTTTTTACAAAAGATATAGACACTATCGTGCGAATAATAGGAGAGAAACGTTAACATGCAATGACTCAGCCCAAGGTTACCAGCCCGAAATCGTGTCGCAGCTCGTCCGCCGCGCCATTGCTGGCAGAGATCTCGCCACTGGCAAGCACGCCACGACAGGCCACGGCGCAAACTACACGACACGTGGACCGACGAGCAGCTTTGGGATCAAAAATACGCTGCCGCCGCCGCCGGAATTTGCGTGCAGCGTGTGGAATGTGCCGTCCTCGTGCACGCGGGAGCAGTACGCGGCGTTGGTGGCTGGCACGGCAGAGACGGACAAGTACATGGTGGTCAAGCCTGCGGGGGGGAGCCCGGGGTCAATTCTTCAAGCTTTTTAAGGCAAAGGTGAGAGTGACTACGGCGCAAGTGAATGCGGCAGGAGTCTCGTGTCTGCCGTTGGGCCGATGTCGGCTCCTCGCTCACCAACAAGTGTAATTCGGAAATAAATCCAAAGCTCAGAACTCGCCAGGAATTACTGCATGTAGTAAAGTGAAATTCACGTGTATTGGTGGGGAACTGACAACGCATAGAGCACTTTGTCACCAGGGCGACAAAGTAAATCGCGAATCCGTGAGATCATGTAGTTGAATCTATCTATGCACTCTTGATCCAATGTAGTATTGCAATATTCCGTCTGATTGTCTTTCTGATTTCTCTCATCTATCTGTCCTTTCTAATCTTCCGATTTCAGCCCTTCCTCTATTCTTCTCTAGGACTACTTTCGTTCCATGGCAAAGTGAACTTGACCTGATAACCGCAGCTTCTCACCCAGTTCTCACACCTCCAGTAACTTCACATTTACCCCAATCCCCTTTATTCTCTACTGCGGCTCAGCTCAGTACAATCTGCACGGGCCAATTGTGTCCCTTCTAATTTCCTACTACTTTAAAATCTTCATACTTTCCACACTCTACCTGCTTCTTCCTCCTCCACACACAACCACCACAACTCTACCTCCTCCTCCCATAACAACATACCTTCACCACCTCCACCACTTCCTACCTCTTTCCTCTTTCCTCTTTTCCTCTTTATATCGCTCCCCCCCAATTCCGATTCCACCTCGAGACTTTTCGCAATGGCCAGTACCAAGGCTGACGCTGACGCCCCTAAGGTCGGTGCCGTCAAGAAGTGGGATGGCAACGCCGAACGAGATCTCTGTCTTGCCATCGCCATGGGTGGTGCCGCCGAGGGTGACAAGCTCAAGGTCGATTGGGCCGTTACCCACGGCGTCATGACTTCTCTCGGGTACGAATTCACCAAGGATGCCATGAGGTTCGTCACACCCCGCCCCCAACCATGACCAAAACAAGGAGACTAACAATACTTGTTTTGCAACGACAGCCAGCGATGGAGCAAGACCATCCAGAAAGACTTCTTAGGCCGCCGCAACGGCACCGTCACACCCGCCCCCATCACGCCAAAGAAGACTCCGACCAAGCGCAAGAAGGCCACCGAGGCCGCTGGCGAGGAGGCCCCAACTGAAGAGGCCCCGACCGAGGAGGCCGCCGCAAGTCCGCCGGCCACCCCGACTGCCACCAAGGGCCGCAAGCGCGCCCCAGCCAAGCCCAAGGCCGCCGGCCCAGCCAAGCCTCGCGGCCGCAAGCCCAAGGCTACGACTCCTGTCAAAGCCGAAGCGGAGGAAGAGGCAGCCGACGAGCCCGCTCCTGAAGTCAAGTGTATGTATACGCCCTGGCCGCATGTGCCCCCCCAAAACCCCGACCGGATCGCAACTAATTCAACGCCTGTAACGTAGCCGAAGGCACCGAAGAGGTTGACGAGAATCAGCCTAGCCCTGCCAAAAAGGTCAAGGCCGAGTCCAACGACGGGGACACAGAGATGGCTGGCGGGGCTTAGTCCTATCAACTCTCAGTTCTCTCATGTTTGCTGCAAATCTTCCTCTTGATCAAAAGTCAGACCGTCTCTGGAAAAGAGACGAGGGTCCTTCTTTGGCTGGTTTTACTTGATAGTTCTCGTCCGTAGAGTCGGACAAGAACACCTTATTTTGCCTAGAACTGGCATTGCTGGCACTATTTTAGCCATAATAGGAGTTTCATCACATTGAGGCCATCTTTGATACTTAGCTCTCGGAGTCATGAATGAATAATGACATTTGCAACTCTAGTCGCGCTGCAGAAGTTTTGTGAACGCACGTAGTTAATTGGTGATATATTTTGCCATTAGTCGTGACCATCTATCTCCACTCCGAGCCAAAAAAAAAACATGTTTCCCTTAAAACGCCGCGATTCTGTTCTCAATTTGTCGTAAACGCTTAGCTCATCGTGGACGTCTTCCATCCAGGCGGTGACCCTCGGGGGCGCCCTTTTTCTCAGGGACCTTGTCCTTAACGTCGTCCTCGCCCTTACGTTTGACGGTGCCCCGTAGACTCTGTCCTTGTCCGGCAAAGTGAGGCTTGTCGGCACTCTTCTTTTCCTTTTCTTTGTCTGCATCGGTCTTGACGGGTGTAATCTCGTAGCCAAAGAACAGCTTGTTTGGCGGGAGCCGGAGGGGCGCGGGAGCGCCAGTCTGTCGCCGGGGAACGGCAGTGGCGTCGACAGGCACGGGCGTGGCTGGTTTGGGCGTGGCAGTCTTGCTTCCCTTTTTGGCAATCCGCTGGCCTTCGCCGAGAAAATTTGTAGGATTGCTGGTGACAGATGGGGCGATGGCACTGTAGTTGATGGCTTGGGCCATGGTGCCCTGGCTGTGCAGAACGCCGCCTACCGGAACGCCGGGTCGCGTGCTTGGCGTGCTGGTGCCGCTGTTTCGCTCTGGCTCAACGTAGCCAACGGGAGGGGCAAATTCGACAGAGACATCAGTCTCGATCATGCTGACACCCATCTTGTCTGTCTCGGGCTGCACGTCTAGCACGGCCACGTCGTAGACCTCGTCGTTGTATGCAAAGTTGAAGACGTCGCCCTTGGTCAGCGTGGCAAAGTTACGAAAGGCCCGTTCCAGTACAGCCTTGGGGTCGCTAATCTCAAGAAAGTTAGTAGACTGCGGCTGAAGCTTGACCAGCTTGGCCAGCTCGAGCAATGTCGTTCGGATCTGAATCATGTCGCCGACTTCCATGCCGAGCGTCTCCATCATCTGTTCTTGTGTCAGTGGAGGAAACGGTGGCAAATGCAAGTACGAGAACGTACCCATTGTGGGATGTAAGCTCTGCCTTCCTCTGCAATAAACTCGAGAACACCAGCGTGCGAGTGACGCCCTTTCTCGCCGTTGATGAGCTCCATCTGTAGAGGCCACTGCACGTGCAGCTTGGACACCTTGTCGAGCGCCGACGGCGGGAGAAGAATCTTGGAACCGTAGTTGAGCTCTGGCCGCTCGTTACCAGGAGCCATGATGACGGGATAGCATCGATAGTATTCATCGAAACGCTGAATAATCGGTCGTCGGCCGCCGCGCGCCATGTTGTAGAGATGATCAATGCTATTGGGATCAAAATTGCCCCCGAACCCAGGTTGATACTAGAAGAACCTCAGTTAGTCGAGGGGCGACGCGGCACGAACGCAGGCAGCGGTGACGTACCATGTTGCTGGAAAGAATGCGCCTGCCGCGCTGGGGATGTTTGTGGTGGGGTGCTGCAGTCGCGATGGCTTTGGCGGTTTGCCTCTTAGCTACAAAAATTCGCAGATGCCGAGGTTGAGTGAGCTTGTAGAATTCGATGTTTGCAGCGAGTTCCTCCCTTGTTTCCGTGATAGTGTTGTTGCGTTGCGTAGATGCTTTTGCTGGAACAAGGTCGGTCGCCTCTCTTTGCCTGCCTGGAGGCAGCTTTCGGAATGACGCAGGCACTAAACCGCTTTAGTCATCCAGGTACAGTGAATACCGAGACGCCACAACTAGGAAAGATCCTTGGCTCAGGACTACTTGAAATCTGAAACAATTTTTTTTTAAAATCTCTACTAGGATAAGAAGTACATATGGCCCCGTTGAAACCGTTCAAATCTGCTCGAGATCGTGCCGCTAGGCCGTCAACATCGGCTGGGAGTCATTCTCCTACACCAGTGCCATCATCGCCACTTTGTGGGGAAATGGCTGAGCCACCAGTGTAGACTAGGTAGAAACTACTCAGGAATAGAACTCATCTTGGAGACTATGTCAGTAACTACCCAAAGATGATATCACGGCTGTTAAGTTTTACTTTGTGTGATTCTCGGAAGAAGAACCTCTACTTAACTACTGACCCGGGCAACTACAAGTATTAATAGCTTCATACACAGCAAGCTCTGCACTGGTGTAGAAGTCATGTGTGATATAATCAATATGAGGTTCGATAGCTTGGTGATCCACATTTCAAGACGACGAATCTGAAGATTTGCGCGAGATGAATTGTTGATTGAGACAGGTAAGCCCGAAATTCCAGCTACCGTGCCACTGCCGACAGCAAAAAGTGACACATTTTATTAATAATCGATACTAAACAAACCTCGAAGAAATAGCTGCATTGTGACGTTTAATTGTTGAAAGCCTCGCTGACTTTCTAGAGCTGGTAAGCAGCGTCAGTGCTTTCATCTAGTAAGATCATGGTGGCGGCTGCACCGTCGTATGGCCCGCCTACACTGCATGCCATACGACAAGTTTCCCTTCGGTGACGAACGTGAATATGCCATTAGAACGCCACGGCTCATCGGTGATTCATCTCGTATAGACATACTTTATTAGACTAGCCCCGCCGATAGTTGAGGCGGAGTTGTATATTCCTCCGAAACTCAATTCATATCAATCATGAGGCATACGGAAAGCGATGCCTTGCATACGTAAATAGATAACTGGTAAATTCTTTCACGTGTAGCCTAGGTTGAAAAGGGTGGGATGCGCTGGCTGCAGCAACTTGCCATAACATGCTGCAGTCGGGAAGCCTTGGCTTGTAGTCCGCATTGCTCTATATAAGTGCACGCACGGCCCTTTCAAAGGATGAGCTGGTATGGACAGCCACGTTGACATCAGCAAAAACTCTAGAAAAGATAGTTGCGAGTCCAAAATATGATTTCAAAAACCACTGCACTCTGGCTATTAGCCTTCATCAGTGTCAATGTGGCGGCCCAGGACGCGGAGGTTTGGTACGAGGCCCATCCTGGCTTGGCCCAGATCAAAAGGGTGAAGCAAGACACGCACCAAATCGTCGACGAATACGGCCGTACTCGGTTCTTTCACGGAACGAATGTTGTCATGAAGGAAACTCCGTGGTATCGACCCATGGAGTGGACGCCCGGAGTGTCGACCTTTGGTGAGCAGGATGTCCAGAACCTCCATGACATGGGCGTCAACATTGTCCGCCTTGGACACAGCTGGGCTGGTGCTGAGCCTGTCCGAGGCCAATACAACCAGACATTTTTGGAAATTATGAAACAACAGACAAAGCTGGCGGAAGAGCAAGGGATCTACGTGTTGGTGGATGTTCACCAAGATGTGCTGGCGCAACAACTCTGCGGCCACGGCGTACCTGATGTCAGTCTCCCCAATTTTCTTTGACTGACATTTTGTTAACACAAAGGGATAGTGGTTCGTTAAGAAGGACTGGATCACGGGCTTCAGGCGATTCCCGTTCCCCCTCAAACTCACTCCATTTACTACCGACAGCAACGGCTTTCCCTCGCCCAAATCGCAGTGCAGCACCATTGACTGGTCCCTGAGCTATGCCACAGTCGCCGTGTCAAATGCATTTGGACGATTGTATGATAACTACGATGGCCTCGGCGACGCCTTTGCTGCGTATTGGAAGAAGCTAGCCTCTGGATACGCTGAGACTACTAATATCGTGGGCTACAATCTGTTGAATGAGCCCTGGGCCGGCGACACCTACAGAGATCCAACGTTGCTCATACCGGGCATCGCCGACCACAAGGCTCTCGAGGGGCTCTGGAATCGCGCGGCGAAGCAGATCCGAACCGTCGACAATGACACGCTCATCTGGTTCGAGGGCGTCACCCTCGACGTGCTCTCGGGGTTCAACAACGTGCCGCTCGGCGACGGGTCCAAGACGGTGCACTCGTTTCACTACTACCACCCGCCGCAGCTCGGCTCCATCGCCGACACGCTCTACAACCGCCAAAAGGACAATGTGCGGCTCAAGACGGCCGGTGTCCTGACCGAGCTGACCATGTGGATGGGCGACGACAAGCAGATGAGCGCCATGGCAGAGGCCATGAAGGCTACCGACGACAACATGGTGTCCTGGCTCGGGTGGGCGTACGAGAACCTGTACAATGGAACGTCGGGGAAGGCGTACCCGGAGCTGCAGAAACACTACAGCCGAGCATACCCGGCGGCCGTGGCCGGCACGCCAAAGTCTTTTGGGTTTGACGAGAGTTCGGGCACGTTCAAGCTGCAGTTCACGAGCGACCCGGCCATTGATGCGCCAACAGAGATCATCTTGCCCGTGTCAGCCTTTCCCAACGGGTATAACGTACAGATCACCCCTGATGGCGGCTTGGTGCAACACGTACGGGACAATCGCACGATGAGTCTTTTCACATCCAAATCTCTTGCGACCGCCACATCGATTTCTGTCACCATCACTCGGAAGTAGTAGCCGCCGTCCGTCCCCTGGTGGCGTACATTCCTCGTCATCATGTCATCTGTCAAGGTTGACCGAATCTGTCCAGCATGTAAATAGACATTTTCGAGTGCAGAGAAAACTATTTATTTTTAATAATTCCCTGAAAAATAATTAATTTTGTCACGGTAAGATGACTCGTGCAAATTTGTCTGTGAGAGCGGTCGTGCTGAGCTGCCTGGATAGCTCCAATAAGTGGGTCGACGCGGATCTCCAAGCTTCATTTCTAGCAACTCGACTTTTGTTTTTCCTCCCATGCGCCGCCCAATCTGAAGTCTGGCCAGCTACAATAAAGATCCAAGCATCGCGCCCGAGATCTTATTATTATTATTATCAAACCCAATCACCTGATTCACCATCAATTCCGCGTACGATGTCGTCTCGCCACGGTGCTGGTCGTCCTCGTCGCGATGGCGAGACGTTTGCCAGAACACACCACCACGACAACGATCAGGAGGACAGCTCGCGAGTGAAATTTGACGTTCGAAATCCCTCTACGCTGGCACCTGATGCGCGAGAAGACGACGCTGTACTCGACGCTGATGTTATCGGCGGCACCGCCGCGACCAAGCGCGGTGCTGTCAATCTCGACGGTTACGATAGCGACTCAGACAATGACACTTTCAATGCTCGGGCCGAGGCCCGGAAGAAAGGCAAAGTGGACATAAACGAACAACTAGACAACTACGACAATAACGCTCCGCATGATGGCCCTTCGGCAGCGCAAAACGACGACGATGACGATGACGACATGTTTGCGGCAGCTGACGGCGAAGATGGAGAAGAGAAAGATACCGGCCCTGAAGCCTCTACAACTAAGAAGAAGAAAGTACAATTCATGGATGCAAACAAAATCGAGGGTCAAGACCAGAAGAGCAAGAGCGGCGGCACGATTCATTTAGACGAGGACGACAGCAGTGATGCAGAATCAGAGAAAGAGCTTCGTGCTCAGGAAGAGGGTGTGGATGAAGAAGTTGGCGCTGGCGGTCTGAAACGCAATGCTCCCAAGGTGGAAGCCTTCAACCTCAATGACGAATTGGAAGAAGGCCAGTTTGACGAACAGGGTAACTTTGTCCGCAAAGCTGGTGACCCGGACGCCATACACGACAACTGGCTGAATGGGCTGAGCAAGAAGGAAATGAAAAAGGCAGCAGACGCGCACGAAAAGCGTGAATCAGAGGCCAGGAAGCGTCGGCTAGAAGACGACAGCGTGCTAAGCTCTGATCTTCTCAAGACCCTGATTCTCCACCTGGAAAAGGCAGAGACACCCCTAGAAGCGCTAGCACGCTTGGGCAAGGGCCAGAAAAAGACAAAAAAGATTCCGCAGTGGAAGCTCAAGAAGATGAACAAGGGCATGGACCTAGACAAGGAAGCTGAGCAACCAGACCCAGAACAAGTGCGAATCAAGGCTGCCATTGACGGCATTACGGAAGCGGCCGACAAACTTCTCAGTCGAGGTTCGGAGGATATCTACGACCAAGAGCGCGAGATTTTGGTCCGCGAGTATCGCAAGGAGTCCGGCGAGGACTGGGTCGAGCCAGCACGCGAGGAGGAGCCGGGTGCTGGGACAGGGACATCCGACTCGGCGGGCAAGTGGGAGTTTCACTGGGTAGACGGGCGGGATGACGGATCGACGCAAGGCCCATTTGACGGGCCGGCGATGAAGGCATGGCTGGACGCGGGCTACTTTGGGCAGGGCATCGAGTTCCGGCCAGCCGGTGGCTCGGCCGAGTGGTCGGCGGAGGTACCGTCTTTTGTCTGAGTGCAAAATACGCAAGCCACAAGCACGCCAAGGAAACAACAGAACTCTTGAAGATGAGGAGAATCGAGCAGGGAAGGGCCCAAGCCATTCCACTCAACACACGAGCTTGTGCCAACTAGAGCGGAACAGGATCCTTGCCACGACTGCATTCTAGAATGCCGAATTGGAGCCCTGGGGTAGTTAGTGGGAATCGAGACCGTTGTCTGCGCCCCGGGTTCTTCCCCCAGGAAAGCGGCTCGCTTGCTGGTCCAATCTTCTGCCGAGCAGGGCCGGGGCCAGACGGCTTTGGGCGGCTGCTTGCTCTGGGCCGGACAAGGAAGGAGGACAAGCCAAAGCAGCGCACCCGTTCTGCTCCGGCCCTGGGGCGGAAGAAGTGGAACAAGACGGGCAGCGCAGCCCTGCGGTTATCGTGATGCGCCCGAACTTTGCCGCGTCTAAGTGGGACAGAGCGTGCCATTATATAGTAACAGGAAACCAAAGGACGAAAATGCAGCACCTGGTTCCGATGCTTGTGTAAAGAGCAAAATCATAGAGGTTTGCGCACGACGCCGTGCTGGCCTCCCCACACCTGCGATGGTTATGCAATTACAAGAGATTTGATCCCTCTCCCCCTCTTCTACCGGAATTTGCTATGAGTGATTTTTCCATTGGCAGCGCGCTGTTTTCACTGACCTGGTTCTTATCGGCGGCTGCGCAGCGGAGTGCACTGTACTGGCCTAGCGCTGTTGCAGATACAGGATGAACAGGGACGACGGGGGTACTTGAGGAGTACTGAGCTTGGTGTGCAACAAAGGCAGGCAACCGGGTCGAATCGGAGGGCAGATGCTGGTACCTCAGAGGTTCCCCACACCGGACCGGCCTCAGAAAGCGATTTAATTTTAGCATTTTCGCAGGGCGTCAAACAGTGAAGGGCAAAGAGAAGAAAAAAAGTGGCGATATACGTAGGTAATTATTTCAAGACCCGCTCCCAAAAAAGACGCAGTGCAGTGCCAACAGGGTGCGTTGACGCTGCCGCATGCTGAGGCTGGTGAATATGACTAGCCGGAGACATTGCTATTCGGGCCTTGTCTGTTATCGATTCGGTGCCCAGGCGCATATTACGGCGTGAGTGTGTAATGGGAATGGAGTCAGCCGGCGCCAGATCGGAGGACGCTGAATGAGGACCAAGAGTGTACTTTTCCCGGCGCGGCCGGACTAAGACGGTTTCACTAATACGCCATGGAATCATGGATGGGAGCCTTGTCGTGTCATCTTGGTGGCCAATTTGTCTATTCTGGTAGTTCCGCCGTGGCCAACTTGACGGTTCACTGGTTTTGTGTCTTGATGACTGACAAAGAGGGCCAGAGATGAGACGACGAGCTGCCGGTTGCACCATCAGCCAACCGTTCGCAGAAATCATCAGTTGCGCTACAGTCAACATAGCGGGTGGTCAAAGTTTGCGTGGGCACGGGTTGCCGCACGAGTTGGAACGTCAGTAAAGTGGGGGAGGGGAAGCAACCAGAACGAGGCCAATTGAATGGGATGAAGGCGTCTGGGAGGGAAGCACGAGCGTGAATGAATGGACGGTTGCGTGACTCTGGTCTCGCGATTTCGATCGAGTCAAGGAACCCGTATGGTTGCCTCTTGTCTTGGAGAGCTCGTCGAGGCCCAAGCTGCGAGTATATGGTTGGTGATGCGCTGGGCATTTGCCCCTCTCTGCCCCTCCATGGACGGACCTGCAGCTCTTGGGCTGGCAAGGTGTTGCGCTACGTCGAGATGCGGTTAGGTAAGCTGGCATAAGCTGGCATAAGGTTGGCTGTTCTTGAGAAATCAGGCCAGCAGTCTTGCACCTCTCTGGCTACAGGCTCTCCAGCGGTCAGCCACCGCCACTCCAGCGCCTGTTTTTCACTGACGATGGCCTTGTTTTTTTGTTGCTCTGGCAGCTGGCAAGCTGGGTCCCGGCAGCTGCCACGGCCAAGCCACCCAGGACTACAAAACCATTTGCCCACCCCTCCTCTTCGCCGTGCGTCTCTTCTTTTTCTCCCCTCCATTACACCTCATTCTTCAGTTCAAAGGAACAAAAGTGAGTTTTCCATCCGTCCCACACCTGGCTCCATCATCTCGAGCTTCATTGCTTCTTGACCATCTACCACGCTCTACCCTCCAACAGCTTCGCTCACCCAAGAGCTGCCTGCTTTTCCCCTCCTCTCCACGACCCCGCCATCCACCACTTAACCTAAAGTTACCCCTCGCTAACCGCCAAACGTCCCAACAGGTTTTTCTTCTCTCACCTCACTTTTCTAATCAAGAACAATGGCTCCCGTCAAGGTTGGCATCAACGGCTTCGGCCGCATTGGCCGCATTGTCTTCCGCAACGCCGTCGAGCACAACGACATCGACGTTGTTGCCGTCAACGACCCCTTTGTTGAGGTCAAGTACGCCGTGAGTTTCACCACCCGCACCGAATAAAGCTATACCCTTGCCTGCACCCCGACACAGCCTTGCTGTTATGGCTGTGGCTGTGGCTGTGGCTGTGACGTGGTAGGATTGTCAATTTTGGCAACCCGCTCAAACAGCTATCAGGCCACGCTGCCGCTGCTTGTGACCAGGTTATGGTTTGGTTGGTAAAGCGAACCAAACCTCATAATCGCTCTACTAGTGCCAAAGGCGAACACTCGTCAACCTCATTTGCCAATAAGCTGCTAACCATTCATCGCGCAGGCCTACATGCTCAAGTATGACTCCTCCCACGGTGTTTTCAAGGGCGAGATTGCCATTGACGGCAACGATCTCGTCGTCAACGGCAAGAAGATTCGCTTCTACGGCGAGCGCGACCCCGCCGCCATTCCCTGGAAGGAGACCGCCGCCGAGTACGTTGTCGAGTCCACTGGTGTCTTCACCACCATCGACAAGGCCAAGGCTCACTTGCAGGGTGGTGCCAAGAAGGTCATCATCTCGGCCCCCTCTGCCGACGCCCCTATGTACGTGATGGGTGTCAACGAGAAGGCTTATGACGGCTCCGCCGACATCATCTCCAACGCCTCTTGCACCACCAACTGCCTGGCTCCCCTCGCCAAGGTTGTCAACGACAAGTTTGGCATTGTCGAGGGTCTCATGACCACCATCCACTCCTACACTGCTACCCAGAAGACTGTCGATGGCCCCTCTGCCAAGGATTGGCGCGGTGGCCGTGGTGCCGCTCAGAACATCATCCCCTCCAGCACTGGTGCCGCCAAGGCTGTCGGCAAGGTCATTCCTGAGCTCAACGGCAAGCTTACTGGCATGTCCATGCGTGTCCCTACCGCCAACGTTTCCGTTGTCGACCTGACTGTTCGTCTTGAGAAGGCTGCCAGCTACGACGCCATCAAGGCCGCCATCAAGGAGGCTGCTGAGGGCCCCCTCAAGGGTATTCTCGCTTACACCGAGGACGAGCTCGTCTCCTCCGATCTCAACGGCAACACAAACTCTTCGATTTTCGATGCTAAGGCCGGTATCTCTCTCAATGACAACTTTGTCAAGCTGGTTTCGTGGTACGACAACGAGTGGGGTTACTCCCGCCGTGTCTTGGACCTCATCTCCTTCGTTGCCAAGGTCGACGCTTCCAAATAGGATGAGGACTCCTCAGCTAAGCCAAGGCTATAATGTGGCCCACGTTGGCTAGCTGAGGCGGGGATGGGTAATAGAGTAAAAATATGTTAATGAAGAAATATACCAAAAAATTACGTTCCCGATTGTATCGTCTGCTACCTTTTCGTCGCCCGCGTGGCATCAAACATAATGCAAATTCCGAAACAAAGGCAATTGTCGGTAGAAAATGGGAGGGACGAACAAGTGTTACATACAACAGTAAAATCTTAACAACACTGGCGCCATTTCTTGATATGGAACAACAAAGGGTGGTACATGAAAGACTTGTCCCCTCATCACTTTGCATCATCTGTCTCGTTGATATTTGTCAGCCACATTCCTACAAAAAACGACCAAAACGAAAAGACAGATTCCTATCCTTTTCATCTTCCCTTCCTATCCTTTGTATCCTTGTCAGTTTTTTTCGCCTTCTCCTCACAAGTACATGTATGCCAAACCGAAATAACCAGATTTTACATGAATAAAAAAAAACGCCAAATGTATCATAGTTGAATGCAGAAAACCACTTCTCTCATGGAAATGTGTTGCCCATTCTGGGTATAAAAAAAAAAGCACAGAGATTTCGACTCTTTCCCGTGTTCCCATCCAAACAAACGCTCATCATTGTTAAATGTGCCCCGCCGTCACCTACTCCGTTCCTTTTCCCGGCCATCCCCTTTTCCCCTTTCTCTCTCACCTTTTTTCTTTGTGTATAGCCTCGCCGAGATGCTGCTCAATGTTGTTCTGCGGCCTCGGCTGAGACTTGGCTCTCTTCCTCGCGCCCGTAGTCGCCAGGGGTCAGTCCCGTGGTCCAGCTAATGCCCTGACCGGCGCACCACCGCTTCATGATGCGGAGCGCCGTGTGGGTGACGTCGTCAATGGTGGCCCAGGGGGTGATTTCGGTGGCGCGCAGACGCGGTTGATCGACGAGCGTGTAGACGTCGCGCAACTGGAGGAGCGTGCCGGTGCGTAGCTGCTCGTGCTCGAAGAGCGCGCGTGCCGTCTCGGGGCCAGGCTCAAGCGCCACGTCGGACCGAATGGCTCCGTCGGCGACAAAGGACAGCAGCAGTAGGAGCAGCCCGTGGGCGGCCTGGTTGTGCTTCGGCCAGTTGGGCTCCCGGAGGAAGAAGCTCGCGACCGGAATCAGGCTCGGCCATGCTTTGCCGTCGGGCGGCTTGTTGAGCATCGAGCGGATCGCATCCTGCGTCTGAAACGCTTGCATGAAGCACAGCATGCACTCGAGGCCGAGAACGAGGCCTATTTGTGTGGACTGGGGGTCAACAGATTCGTTACTGGCGGCCCGGGGCTGACTGGACTTGCTGTTGGAGGCAGAGGGGCTCCGACGACCTTTGAAGAGGGCACTGTCGGCGGCATGTTTGAGTGCAATTCCCATTTTCCTCATGCGCGCTTCTTTCTCTTGTAGTACCGTGAGCTCTGTCTTCCCCGAGGCAATGCCGTTGGGCTGCTTGTCGCCGGTAGTAGCAGCCGACGGTGTCCTTCTCATCGACTCACCCGGCGTGTGTGCGGCTGAGTTGCTCGAGTTGACCCGGGACATGGCGGTTTGGCCCTTTCGCGGAGGCGTTGTAGGTCTACGAAGCGCAGGCGGGACGTCGGAAGACCTCGCCTGTTGACCCGTCGCCGAGTCAGGCTCAAGTGCGGCAACGGGACGCTTGCGGGCAGACGTTCGGTCTTCCTCTGAAGAAGGCTCCCGGTCGCGGTTCGGTGGAGTTGCGACTGGCGGGCCCATGATACGGCGAAACGACTTGCGTAGGAGCCCTTGAGAAATCTTCAGTTTGACTAGCAAACGCCGAGGTTTCACGGGCGCCTCATCCAAGCTATCGTCTGTAGAGAGGTTCTTCTTGTGCTTGGACACAGGATCCTTCTTTTGCTTGGGCCGCTCGTCTGGTTCGGGTGAGCCCTGCTGCATGCATAGGAGGGCCGCTTCTATTATTGGCGGGAGTGTTGGTGAGATCAGCGACGGCAGGGTAACCACGGGCTTGCGCTTCTTTTCCTCTATAGCGTGATCTGGTTTCTTAGACCGTGGTGGTGTATTATTGGGCCTTCTTCTGTCTTGCTTCGGCGGTGCATCTTCCTCGAAGCCTGGACCTAAATGCAGTGGTGATAACAGTGGCGGAACAACAGCCTTTTTAGGACTGTCTTGTTTGGGGGTAGTTTTACCAAGTGTGCCGGTATGCCCGTTGACCGAATTGCCGCGAGGACGATTTGCAGGGGGGGGGGCTCTACCCAGGACTGATGCACCTTGAAGAGCGCTCTTGCCATTCAGTATCGGAGAGTCTCTACGGCCAGTGCCATGCAGCGACGAGTCCCTTCGTCGCACGGGCTCATCACGGGGAGACGGGCGGTCGTCATTTGGTCGTGTGTTCTCGGACCGGCTCCGCTTTTGTGGTCGAGCTTCGTCGTCGTGGTCTGCAACGCGCTTCTTGGCAGCAGGTGATGGTGGCCGAGGTGGGAGGGGGTAGTTTTTGAGCGGTGGCTTTGGTGGCAAGGTCGACGGTAGTGGTAGGCTAGATGGTGCGTTAGACAAACAATTTTGGGATACAATAATTGGAACCTTGAAAAGTGCCTACCTCGTATCCGCTCCGTAATCTTTAGGACGTAGCTTTCCATCGATCGAATCCCTGGGGCGGTCCTTTCGCGCATCGCTAGGCCGCGCATCAGGCGCTCTTTTAGAATCGGCATTGGCGCGAGCATCAGAAGGGTGTGCCCCAGAACCAGCCAGGGGCCTTGATGCAGATGCGCCAGCGCGTTCGGGTTCTCGAAGCTTGGAGACGGCCGGCTCCGAGGGTGAGGTGGCGGCAGTCTTTTTGTTCTTGTAGTCGCTCAGTGACAGCTTCTTCTTTTCGCCGCCAGCCTTGGAGAGCGCGTTCACGTCTCGCGAGACTGGCTTGGGAGGTTCCTCACGCATATCGTAGTCGGGACGGGTGAGGAGGACGCCGCGGTCGGCCTCGGCAAGCAAGGTCGAGTACTGGAGGCGCGTGCTGCGCCACTCTTCTGGGCGTAAATGGTCGTCGGGTCGTGGGCGGTATCGCCACTCGGGATGGTTGGAGAGATAGTAGGGCGTCTCAGGTAATGTGCGCTGCGTCAACAGCTCGACTGTCTTCGCCGCAGCTTCCATTGCGCGAGGGCCCAATTCATGCCGGAGAGACACAAGGGGAGTGCGGCAGGACCCTGGGGGTGGACGGGGCCGAAGTGTGCTCGGCCCCGAGGCAGGGTATGGTGACGGGCACGAGGCAAGCCGGGGTTGGATGGACTCGAGAGACGAGGGCAACGAAGGCAGAAGGGGCGCGGGCGGCGGGTTGCGATTGTCAGGACGCGGGCGGCGACGACAGGAGCTGAGAGTCGCCGTAGAATGGCAAAAGCGCGGACCTGTGTGTGTTTGTCGCGAAAGCGTCGGGCCGGGGTTGGCGAGGAGGGATGCGGCGCCGCAAAAAAGTCGCGAGGCAGGTTAGCAAAGACGGGCAATGGCCCAACGGTGATGGCGCTGGGTGAAACGAGGGTATTGAGAGCCGGGTGCGATGGGCAGGGCGTGATTCCAAGGCACCTCGGACGATGAGGGCCGTCTTTCGCGGTGATGGTCCTGGGTGGGACGTTTGTTGCGAGTGCGCAGGCGGAAGGGCCAGTAACAGCAAGCGACAGAAGAATTGGCTGGGTTGGTGCAGCGGAGAAACCGCGCGCGCGGCTGAACCAGTGGCAGTAAATGGCTGATTGATGGGGCACTGTGCGGGTGGGTTTTAGTTCTTCTAGAACCCGCAAGCGGCGGGTATAACAAGTATACCGACCTAGGTAGGTAGCAACTGTTGGTGCGAGAACCGAGTATGAGCAAAGTCAAACGCAAACAGAAGCGTGATTGGGAGAGAATGGCAAGATTTGGGGAGCGAGCAGACAGATGGGTGGGAAAGGCGCCAAGTACCCTTTGGCTGGGCGAGGCCGCCATGTGGTACAACCAGGACGAAGCAGCACAAATCCGTATTGGTGCAAACACACGGCGCGTCGCGGCGGACACGGCTATTGGTTGGTTCGGGCTTCCCGTCCCGTCTTGACGATCCACAAGCACACAATACCTTGGACAAACTTTTTTGGTCCTACCATGGTTGATGACCGGCGTGTAAACATAGCTATAAAAACTTTGCATGCCCAATTCCTGTACTGGTTGCCCTCCATACCTACCTCAGTCTCTAGGGCCGCTACCAATGTCGTCAAACGCTCCTCATTATTGGGCCACTTTATAGGCGGGAAGCCCGCTGCGGGGATCCCGATTCCAGTGGGTGCCGACCTAGGTACTATAGGTAGATTATGTAGGTAGGTACCATCAAATGTAACGAGCATTTCGACTAAATTCATCAACCGCATTCTTATATACACAATTCCAAGCTGTACTCGTCGAGTCTCATGTCACTCCACCCGCATATTGTTCATCACCATCACTCACTTGGTTGTAGCGCTACACACAAACCTGCCGCCTCCTCACCTGTTTGTCTTCACTACGGCGTTCCGTCTCGCCTGTCGTACCACGCCACGACAGAATCTTCACCACCGTCTTTAGACATTTCTGCGTCTTGGTTGGCCTTTGGATATAGAGTCATCGAAAATAATACAGTATCCGGCGAAAGCCATGGAGGTTTCGACCGTGGCAGCAAGAGCTCGACGACTCAGTCCTTGGCTAATGTCCTTGTTCTCATCAATTTCTGGTACATGGATGTGTCTTGTGAATCTAGCCCTCTAATTAATCTGCCCTAATCCAATCGTCTAGTTTTAACGAGGCTTCTGTGGAGGTTGCGCAGGAACCACTTTGGCTCGCCTCACCGACGCTCGGCTCCTGTGCCACTTGCTGCAAGTCATTCGAGTTTCTGTAATACAAGCGTATCAATTTCAAGACTCTTGATATGTACATAGAATCCAAGGATCGATTTCCAGCTTCCGCCCAGAAGCCTGTCACTTTAACCCAACCAGTTCCGGACCGGTGTATGACTAGATGATATCTTTTCAATTTATTTCAAATCAGGCACTATTGGATGAAATCGGTGTAGATAATCTCTGATGTTGAATGGCGGCGTACTGCTGAGAGCTCCCACCGCACTCGCCTTGACACAATTGCGCAGAAAGTGTTTGTCAGAGACCAAGAGCCCTATAACTATCTCTATTTCGCCAGGGGAGGTCTTCCAACAGAACAGTCTCATGGCTGTGAGTGCGACTGTCTCGGGAGCAGTGAAGAAATGACCATTACCTGAGTATGCAAGCAACCTCGACTGGAGCAAACAAGTAACTAACTAGATCCTTTCAATGCTTTGGGACGTTTTGAAAGTATTTTCGTCGCTGTAGTGCCACTATCGAGAACTTTTGCGGCGAACGTTCGGCTTGGTTGGTACCCGGGAGACACATTGTCGATAGTGCTGATGCGACGGCCTGTTTATGCATGGTGCAAGCCTTGTCTTTATATTTGAGGCAGAATCTGTCAGACGACTGTGAGCCATCTGCCTGGAACCAAATACGCAACATTGTGCGCTAATAATAGTAAATCGGAGCAGCTTCAGACGCTTTTTCCAGATATATACTCCATGCTTTTCGAGCGTTGCCTTTGAGAGGCTAATAAATATTAATGTCTGTTCAGAAATACGCGGGGCCCCAGATACCTACCTATGTACCTACTTAGTAGGAGGTACTTAGCTAAAAATGTAAGCATGGATATAGAAGCACGTAGGACGTTATTGCCGAAATCTCAACTTAGATTGTTGAACAGCAAGAGTCTCAAAGGGGTCATTATAAAGTTGGCAGCTATCTCCCATGGATTAGTCGCTGATTTCATTATGTCGCACCTGTGATTCCCCTCACGCGGTGCCATCACAACAAGTGTTGGATGTCTCTAGCACACATTGTCGTCCATTGTTCGTCCACACCCCGTCGCAACAACAAGACATGCAGAAAGCCACTCATAAGTACCTATGTCTGCTGGCAGAGGGGCCTCAATAGCCACACTGCAGCCGGAAAGCGGCATACATAAATACAACACAGGGCTAATAAAAAGCGACACCCACACCTTTACCAGGGAATGCCAGTGAAGCATGAGCACGAGGGCATACCAAGACGAGAAAGAAGGACGAGAGTAGATATAGCACCTAATAGCTTTATCCTTCTAGTTATGGATGGATCTTCAAGATTTATTAATTTGGTTAAAATCAAATGCTGTCACGGTCTTCACACCACAACTCCTGCACCCGTCAACTCTAGCGTGATTCTGCAGCGGGGTTACCACACCTCCTGTGACCTACCCGCTGAGTAGTGGCGGTAATAATTGGCACAAGTCCATCAATGGCCCACCACTGCGTTGTCGGGTGCGGGTGAAGTACTATCAGAAGTGTATGTACATATCCCCTGCTTCTAATTTCGCTGTGAGCAGGCTGGTCTTCCACCCCCTCTTCTCTTCTCTTCTCTTCTTCTTCCATCTCGTGCTTCTTTGTCTTGTGTGCTTCGACTAAAACACCACAACGGGAAACAAACGCTGCATCTTGCCGGCTGGCACCCATCTGCCAGCTGTCAGCAATAAACGTCGTTTGCTGGCGTCTCCAGAGTAACCTCAACCTGCCACTGCAAACGCTGATTTCTAGTGTCCGTCTCACCATATGATTCAGTGAACACAGGATAAAAGGAAAAAAAAAAAACATTCAAGGCGTCGAGCGCCGAATATAGAACCTTTCATGGTCTCTCATCTATTATTGGAATGATTTCCTCCCGCAGATACTGCCCTATTGCCTCTCGCTTTTAGTCTATCTCGAGGGTGCTGCCTTCTCTGACTCGATTGTTGCGCCTTCCCCTTTCACGTCGCTCATCAGTCAAGCAAAGCAGTACATGTTTACCGCACTCTCCACCGTACCTAGGTACCCTTCTGCGAACCGCGAGTCTCTGCGAATTTGCCCTGCCATTCATACAGCTTGACAATAATCACCCGCTCTTTCGCTGCGACGCCGTTAGTGCAACACCACACTTCGACAATGGTATATGACAGAGGCCGCAGTGCTCGTGAGGTTCACGGTGGCGCTTCTGCCGGGACCAGCGGCTCTCCACGCTCGCGCTTCGCACCGGAGAACTCTAGTTTTGCGCAAAAGCAAGGGTCTACTCGGCCTCATGAAGTCCAATGCTCGAATGGTACGTGTCTAGCCTGTTCCCCGAAGCTTGGACCCCAACTCTGACCTGCCAAAAGCACCAATGGTATTAGACGACGACTTGCTGAACCCGAAGGTGCTCATTGACCTCATATCCGAGCGCGTATCTTGGTACATCCAGCGAGATAATGCCGACAAGAAGAACAGAAAGCTGCGCCACGACCTAAAGCGCTGCCAGAATGGAGAATTTCCTAGCGCTGTAGATATGCTTGACGTTCGTTTGAAGGCTCTAGATTTGGACAAGGCCAAATTCTCTCAACGCATGACGATCATTGACGATAAGCTACTGAAGACCACGAGCGCCTGGTGCTCAAAGTTAGAATCAGCCACGCAGCCAAAGTCGTTCAGTGGAAATGGCCGTCATGATCTTACACCGCCTCCCAGCGAAACATCATCGGATATTAATCTTAGCATTGACGAAAAGCTGGCCCAGCTTCGTGAGGATCTGGAAGTGTCAATGCGCAACCAAATCACCGAAGCGTTGCAAAAATTACAGTGCGAGGTCAAGAGTGCATATGATTCCCGCACAACAACGCTACATAACGACATGACGCAAGAGGCCCAGAAGCTTCTTCAGGCACGAAATAGTATCGAGGTCTTGATTCGCAATCAAATAACGGAACAGTCTCAAAAACTACAATATGAGATCAAGGATTCCTACGAATCACGCACGGCCAACATACAGAATCATGTCAGGCAGGAGTCTCAGAAGCTGAGCCAGATGCGGTCCAATGTGGAAACAATGATACGAAAGCAGTTCGCTGAAGAGTCCCGGAAGCTGCAATCCAAGACTGAAGATAAATACGAGGCCCAGCTAGCCAGCTTGAGACAGGATCTACTTCAAGAGAAAGACGTCGCAAAAAGGTTAGAGGCCAAGTTGAACAGCATGGCTGCGAAGCTTGCAGCTGTTGAGACAAAGGTCGATGACCAGGCCAAGATCTCATCACAGTTAGACCTGACTGTCAAACAAGAGGCTTTTGTAGACCTGGAGTCCAGGCTAGCCAAATTTGAAGCATCGCAGATGTCCACGAACCAGCCAACAAAGAAGGACGATGCCGAGGACCATAAGATCGAAGTGGAAGTTGACAGCGCTCAGCCGCCAAAATTGGATTCGATCATGGCGCAAAGCCCTTGTTTGGAGTTGAATGGTGGTTTACAGGAAAAATTGACGCAGTTCTTGCAAAACGGCGATGGCATAGTATCTGAAAAAATGGTGCTATGTCTTGTGCAAGCCGTGGAAACTCGCCTGCAAAGCACACTAAGCCACATGGCCGAGAAATTCGGGACGTTGATTGAGAAGGAGAGAGCAGAGCGTGTGAGCTTGGGTGTGCAGGTTAAGGGTACTGCACAGTCTATCTCTGCAACGGCCCAGGCTGTCGAGGCTCTCCACGCAGAGCTTATCAAGGTACAGGCTGCAAGCGTTGCCAACCGCCAGTCTGACGTGACAGCATCTATGAACCAAGAGACCCGGATTCAGAATCTGACAGAATTGCTGTCATCTACAAAAGACGACATTCAATCGGCAATAAAGGGTGAGCTGCAGAAATCAGTGGATGCATTGTGGCTCCGGACAGCCAACATGCAGAGCTGGCAGGATAATTTCAACACAATTGAACTTTTCAACGCAATCGTTCAGCATTTGAATAATTCGTTTGTCTCAGACCACTTCAACACTCTGATCGAGCTCAGAGCGAGGGTTATCAACCTCGAAGGGGGTCTTGGAGATGGCGGGAACAAGAAAAGAAAGCTTGCAGAGCCTAGCCCATTGCCATTCCCGCCTGTTGCTAGGAGATGATAAGGATTCGGGAAATCTGCAGCCTGCTTGAGTTGGTTCTCACGAAGACTGTCTAGAGTTGCTCCAATTTGTTGTTTTTGCTTTATTGGTTGTCTTTCATACATGGACGTTTTGCAGGGGTTTGGACTTGGGGAGCGGGCGTTAAGGAGGTATATACCAGCGCGCGCGCAGGCAGTTATCATGGACCCCGATTTGATATAGATATACTGATACCAGCACATGGCCAATGGCTATCTAGAGTCGTTGGAGAAAAAAAACTTGCTTGCTATTATTCCACTACACTTTGTTCATTCTTCATCCACGTCACTGGCTTGTGTGTGCGCCACTGTCGAAGGCTGGTCAGTGTACTTCCGTGGCTGCTCAGTCACAAGGCACCGAACAGTTTACCCCAGAACAATTGATATAGATGGGCAAGTTCCCTTTTATTTCTGTTTCATTTGCTAAAAGCATATTCGTCATTGTTCAAGGAATGCGAGAAGCATCGCTCAAGTTTCACGAGGCTGCGCTCGGTAAGTCGGGTAGCAACTGCCACAAGCTTGTGCGATGTCAATCCGGCCCTGGAAATCAATCAGCAGATTTACAAGATGAACAAAATACCAATGGAATGATTCCACGGGCCAAATTTTCCAATGCACAGTAAAAATCTATTTGTAGCCAGTAGTGTATAGCCGTATGTAGCTTCGCACGAGCTAATCGGTGCACAGCCACGTTTATCAGCCACACACCAGCCACAGGGAAGCTTCGCGGTAAAGCCCATTGCCTTTTTCCAAGGCACGAGCACAGACAAGCCGTTCGCAACTCTTCACTACTCCCTTCCAACAGACAAACATTTTTGCCGGCATACGTGCGCGAAACCAAACAAGATGGCTGCTGTGAGTATTGGATGGCTTGATAACTACATGGTAGAGCTTGTTCTCCCCAGTTTCGATGCTAATTGTTATCGTGGACCAGCCGCTCGTAACCGTCTCCGAGAGCAAGGACCTGCGCGGTCTCAACCTCATCGCGGCACACTCGCATATTCGCGGCCTCGGCGTCGATGCCACAACCCTCGAGCCCCGCGCCTCCTCGCAGGGTCTTGTCGGCCAGGAAAAGGCGCGCAAGGCCGCGGCCGTCATCCTGCAGATGATTAAGGACGGCAAGATTGCTGGTCGCGCTGTCTTGATCGCTGGACCCCCCAGGTACGCAAGAAGCCAGTCTACCCCCAGTCGTGGCGCCAAAGCCGTCACCATCACGGCCTACGCGTACTAATATCAGCCGCTAGCACCGGAAAGACTGCTATTGCGATGGGCATGGCCCAGTCACTCGGACCCGACGTGCCGTTCACCACGCTCGCCTCATCCGAAATCTTTTCCCTCGAAATGTCCAAGACCGAAGCCCTGACCCAAGCCTTCCGCAAGTCGATCGGCGTGCGCATAAAGGAGGAGAGCGAGATCATGGAAGGCGAGGTGGTCGAGATTCAGATTGACCGCAGCGTCACGGGTACGGCCAAACAGGGCAAGCTGACCATCAAGACGACGGACATGGAGGCCGTCTACGACATGGGCACCAAAATGATTGACGCCATGACCAAGGAACGCGTGATGGCGGGCGATATTATCTCGATTGACAAGTCGTCCGGCAAGATCACCAAGCTGGGCCGCTCGTACGCGCGGTCGCGCGACTACGACGCCATGGGCGTCGACACCAAGTTCCTGCAGTGCCCCGAAGGTGAGCTGCAGAAGCGCAAGGAGGTTGTGCACACGGTGACGCTGCATGAGATTGACGTCATCAACTCGCGCACGCAGGGCTTTTTAGCGCTCTTCTCGGGCGACACGGGCGAGATTCGCAGCGAGATCCGCGACCAGATCAACACAAAGGTGGCCGAGTGGAAGGAGGAAGGCAAGGCCGAGATTGTGCCTGGCGTGCTCTTCATCGACGAGGTGCACATGCTCGACATCGAGTGCTACTCGTACATTAACCGCGCCCTTGAGGATGACCTGGCGCCCATTGTCATCATGGCGAGCAACCGCGGCCACGCGCGCATCCGCGGCACTGACTATCGCAGCCCGCACGGCCTGCCGCTCGATTTCCTCGACCGCGTTGTCATCATCAACACGCACCCGTACGTCGTTGACGAGATCCGGCAGATTCTGTCGATTCGCGCGCAAGAAGAAGAGGTCGACGTCTCGGCCGACGCCCTCGCGCTGCTCACCAAGATTGGCCAGGAGGCCGGTCTGCGCTACGCGAGCAACCTCATTAGCACCTCGCAGCTCGTCGCAGCCAAGCGCCGCGCCAAGCAAATCGCCATCGAGGACGTCCAGCGCAGCTTCCAGCTGTTTTACGATCCGGCGCGCAGCATCGAATTTGTCACCAAGTCGGAGAACCGCCTCATTGGCGACGACGGTGCCGTCGACCTGTCCGCGGCGGCGAATGGCGCCTCGGCAACCGCGGCGGCGGGAAGTGAGGGCATGGACCTAAGCTAAGCGCAGATATACAATCTCGAGATTCTTTGTTTTTTTGCATGTACGGCTATAACACGGAAAACACCCATGCGGGTTCGGAATATGTCGAAAGCGGAAACGCACACATTCTGGGCATGTCTGCAGCCTCTTTTTTTTATGTTTTCCTGTTCTCTTTTTCTGTTCTTGGTAATTTAGGCTGGCGTTTTATGGGAGGGGAAGAGAACTGCGATTCTCTTGGAAGATGCAAGAAACAAAAAACATACAGAGTAGATGACTTAGAAAGCTATTCAAACTAAAAAATCAAACACGTCTCATCCCACATGCAGATTGACCGGCCTCAAGGTCAAGGAGGATTGGCTCAACAGCGACAGCGGCGCGCCGGAGACTAGGACTGTCCGCACAAGGAGCCGACTAATAAGTGATGACAGCAGTGACACCAAAATTCTGCGAACCGGACTTGGAGTAGAACCTGTGACAATAAGAAGCAACTTAAGAAAAAACGGGGTAGAATAAGATAAAGATATTCACGCAAGTTGGAGGCAAGCATTTTGTATGAAGAAACGTCATCTGTAATTTGGAGGATATCATAAAAAGCCACACGTCGCATGATATGTATCTCGTACATATCCGGACACCCGAAATCCAAAACCGTTTTAGCTCCAAAGCCCCCCATTTTGTCCTTTCCCATTCTATATAAACAACTAATCCAAGAAGAAATGGAACATTCATATCCTGTCGAGGACACGACACTAGTAGGCGGAGCTTTTGCCCTCTTGACATCCCCCTTGCCATGGGTGAGTGACAAGTGGGGGAGATGATTGGCGAATAAAATAGAAAGAAATGTAAAAAAGTAACGCCACTCCTCGTTTGTGAAGAGAAAATATATCTTCTTTTGCCCCGAGGTAATATAATCAACAGCGCCCAACTCCTAATATGGTAGAGTGTTGTAGTACACAAGTACGCATATCAAACATGCAATCGTCAAGACATGAAAAAAATGGAAGAAATTCCCAGAAAAAAGGCCCCAAGGTTATTGGCCCATGCCCTGGAGTTGTGCGGACAGGGTCTGATTGCCCTGGAGGAGCTGCTCGAGCCACTCGGCAGACATGGTGAGCATGGTACTCTTGCTGAAGCCGCCGCCCTTGAGGCCGGGGACGAGCTCGCACAAGTCGTCGAAGCCCTCCTTGATGAGGGTGCGGCGCTTCTGCTCGCTGCGAATGTGATTTGAGCGCTTCTGCTGCTCGCTGAGATTTTCGCGGGGACCCTTGCCGAGGCCCGACTTGCGACGGCGGGACGATGACGACTCGGCGGGTGGCGACGGCAGGCCGTTACTGCTGCCGTGCGGGCTCTTGGACTTTTTGAAGCTCGAAGGAGCAGAGGACTCGTCGTCGTCGTCGTTGTCATCGAAGCCGCGCTGGAGCTTGCTCTTGCGTCGCTTGCGAGGAGGGGCGTCGGCGTCGGCGTCGTCGGCCAGGCCCGCGGACTGCGACGGCGGGACCACACGCTGGGGGTCGACGATCGGGCTGCCGCAGCGGGTGTTGGGGACGCTGTTGTTGGGCTTGAGGCAGCCGAGGACCTGCATTTGCACCTTGTGGTGTCCGTCGGCCGTCTCCTTGGTGGGAGACGGGACGTAGCCCTGAACGTTGCCAAAGTTGGCATCGGACCCCCAGTGAAGCTCGTTAACCTGCTCCGGGCGGGAACCGTGGCGATCCTTGGAGCCAAACATCCAGTCAGTGAATGTGTTGTTGTCGGCTTCGTTTTCCAAGTCCCGCTTGCTCTCTTCCTTGAACTCGTCCATGGGCTGGTGGCGAAGGTGGCCCATTGGCGGGCCGAGGGGTCGTCGGGTCGCGGGTGACGCTTCCTTGCCCTTGCCATTGGAGCGGGGGCTGGAACTGTTGTTCTGGAGAAGGGTGGCAGCAGCAGTTAAGACGTCGTCGGAGTGATGACGATGCTGCTGCTGCTGCTGTTGATGTTGTTGATGCTGGTAGACTTGGCGGTGCTGGGCTTGTGGCGGTTGGCTCATGGGAACCGAAGGGGGGCGCATGAGCTGCGGCGCGGAGCTGACGGCTCCGGTAAAGTCGATGTGTTCGCCGAGAAAAGCATCCGGGTTGGGGAGGGCGGATGCTTGAGGACCAAAGGACGTCGCAGTGCCCATGAACTGGGGAGGCAGGTCGAACCAGGCGTCGCTAAAGTGCAGGCCTTCGCCAAACGAGGGCATGTTGTACTGGGCGGACGACATGTCCTCGAAGAAGGAGCTCAGAAATTTGGTGTCCGTTTCGGAGAGGAGCGGCGCACCGGCAGGGTCGGGGGCGTCGAGGAGACCATCTTGGTTCTGGTCCATCGAGTCTGTGAGAGACACCAGTTCGTGTTAGCAACGGCATGTCTGGCCCCGGTGGATGAAGAGCAAGCGGAAGAAGGAGGAGCAGGATTTAAAGCGCAAGGCGAAAGGTGAGAATGAAGGTCGGGAGAATAGGCTTACATCCAAAAGGTAGGAAAGGATCTGAATCGGGGTGCGAAGAACCCATCCTGGGAGGCTGCTGGACGGCGAGCATGGATGCGGCTCTGGATGGTGATGGGAGGAAAAGTGGATGTGACGGTTTTGGAGCGAAGGCGTCGCACCAAGAGCGCGCAGCCAGGCAAGGAAAAATTGGCGGGCGGACGGCTCGGCGGAACGACTTTTTGGGGCTGACCAAGGCCAGACAGGCGACTGGGCGGGCGGGGGGCGCTGGGGTGCTTTCGGCGGGCAGAGGAGCGCTGTAACGGAACCAGTTGTAGCTGGACGGTGGATGTCGCTAAGGCAGGCGAAATTAGGTGCAGAACAGGACAGTCAGTGTCGTCCAGGTCGTCGTCCGTTCACAGCAAGGGAATTAGAAGTCGGTTTCGAGAGAAAGAATTGCTAGAATACGGAGATGTGCAAGAAGGGCAAAATTGGTATCAATAGAAACAAAATCCGGGGTATTACAAAGAGGTCGCTGGACGAGCCGAGGGAGGGGGCAAGGTCAGGTATTAAAAGAAAAGCCGGGGGGTGCAGTGTCTTGTTCTTGGTTCCGTACATATGAGGGGTGTGTGTGTCCCCTGAGATGAGGGGAATGCCCAAGAGGTTTGGTGGCCGACGTCGACTTTGGGGGGGCAAAATTTTGGGACTCAGGCGCGAGAGGCGGATGAGGAAAGCGTGGGGAATATTCATGGGGCGATGGAGGGAGTTTCTTGGGGGCGTGTTGGGGGTGAAGGCGGGCGGGCGCTGGTGGGTGTGGCATGCGTGGCAGTCGTCAACGTCGTCAACGTCGTCAACTGCTGCTGCAGCTTGGAGTACGCTAGCCTAGGTAGGTACGGGCTGGATTACGAGTACGCGGGTCTTGATAATTCACAGTTGAAGGTTGAATTTCTTTTTTTCCCCAAGTCTTTTTCCTTTCCTTTCCTGAACCCAAGCACACGAACAAGTTTCCATCTACTCTAACTACCTTTGGTAGGAGGTAGTTCACGATCCCGCTGTTTGCCACCGCTGGGCCCTCCGCTACAATAACTCTACCTCGCGGCGGTCTCGGCCGCCTGCCCAAAAACCTAAAAACAGCGGGCTTCAGGGCAGCCAAAGCCCCGGCCCGCGCTACAGTGGGTTCACCGCCAGCGGGGATGGGTCATTTCCAGCGGCGCGCCCAGCCTGCTGGTTGCAGCTTGCAACAGCACCCTGCCAAGCTGTTTATAGGCTTTCTTTTCCCTGGTTCATGCGGCGCATGATGCATCTCACTTTTCCCCGGAGACGGCCAAGGTGGATATTCCAGCACTTGTCCGAGATGACAGATGAGTCGTCGTACAATGCAAACGGCACGTTGCGGTGGGCGAGTGAAGAGCGCGACTCATTTTCTAATGAGAGGGGTTGAACCCGGCCTTGCATTTCCCTCTCGATAGTATGAGCATCATTATAACCAGCCGGCAGAGCCATGCTGTGCAACTGGACTTGTCGCGTGGTAGCTGGTGTAGTTGGTTGTCCCGGATGTCCGCCGCCGAGCTTGGCATCCACTACGCCTACACCTGCCCCTCTAGCCGTAACGAGCACCAAGCACAAAAAAGAATTTGGGCGCCTCTTGGCTATTGATTCGCGCACCCGTCATCTCCGAAGAGGGCCATGCGTATAGGCAAGTTTGAACCCGGAGCGTGGTCCGGAACAAAAGCAAGACAAGTGACGTATCGGTATGCACAAAATACGGCAGACAGTAGTTAGTCACATCACTCTCCTAAATACTAACCGCGTACATGTTAAACTGCCCCTCTCACCCACGCCCATTTAGCCCTTTTGTCCGGACCCGGCGCTGTTTGGGTGAGTCGATCCTGATGAAGGCACCAAGAACGGGCCTACAGATGGGCAGGGGTTGTAATTATAACACACGCCCGGGTCACATAGGTACTCCTACCTACGTCCACCATGTACGAAATATCGCGGGAGAAGAACTCTAGCGTGCTTCCACAACAAGCTGCTAATATTAATAGATTATAGTTGTCAAAAAGCTCCGAGGCACACGCTCGCTCTCCAAGACAGCTTTGACCCCAAAATCCGTCCCCTCGTCTTACTTACCGGTCACTTTGAGCATTACTTTGAGCATAAAGGCTACGTACTACCTTGCATCTTACTCCAAGATACTTCACATCCCCCTCCTTTCCCTTGTTGTTTATTATCGTGCACGCACACACACACTCTCAGTCACTCACCACAATGCGTTACTAGTTACAGAGTAGTTATAGTATCAACGAAAAAGGAGGGGTGGTTATTTTCCCCAAACTGGCGGGTGGGGAAGAAAACGCCTCTTGCTCGCGTTCTCGTCAATCGATGTTGCGAGGAGATGCACTTATCGAGGTTCCCCATCTTGCGCACCCGACGTGCACAAATCTCATATTCACATGCTTTTTTTCCTTTGTTGCTCCTCGGCGTCTCTCTCACACTAAACCTGTTTTGTATGGAGTAGACTACAACGAACTAGACACACCAGCGCACACCACCATCTCAGCCTTTTTTCAACTCAAGCTTGTTCTAGTTACTGGCTCTTGCCCGTTGCACAAAACGCTTTCCGACATGACCCGGTAGCCGTTGACGATCGACGTCTACATTGGTGCTTCTGTTCCGACTCGTCCCTTTGTCCATGACGAGTTCGACGACGCGTGCCTATGGCTTGCATGAAAATGTGCGGCAGACGTCCAAGAAGCTTTGTCGCGCAATTTCTTGCGCGTACAAGTACGACTCCTTTTCGTCTTGCCCAGATAAACATGCCCTGATTAGTTAGTGTCAACGCCATAGTAGGCACCGACTATAGACCGCTTGATGCCTCACGAGACTTGATGGTTTTTGTTGACAAGGGTAAGCATGTACTGGCTGCCCTTTGTGGCTCCATTTCTTATATGGCGTTAAAGAAAATCTAAAAGAAAAAAACTTTGATTTGATGGTGTCGTCAAAGTCAAGACGCAAGCCTGGCCTCACCTCTAACTAATAACTACCTAGTAACACGGTGCCGGATCCCTCTTCTCCATGCGTCGTCGTGAAACAAGTCGCATCAGAGACGACCCCTCTCCAATCTCGAGCGGCAGATTCAACCCCCCTTTTTTCATCCAGAGCGTCTTGACAAATGAGGCCAAGACAAAGCCATAAAGCCTATTTGATGACTGTGTGCTCCCCATTTCTGGCCCCTTGTTCCCCGGATCTTCGTTCAACAAGTCAACACATTCCTCCACTTGTTATGGACACCCTTGAAGGACAATCTGGTCGTGAGTCGTAACAGATCGAAGAAACATGGCGCGGTTCGTCAGTGACATGGTGCAGGTTTGTGGGGGTGGGTTTTTGAACCGATGCAACACTCCTGGTTCAAGTGTTTTCTTGCTGCCGATTTCTTTCGATTGGGAGTTCATCATCCGTTGGCGGCCACGACACTGGTCCATCTGCTCCCACTGTACCCTGTACCACGCCTAGTTCAAGAGCCTCACAGCAAAGGTGATCCTGAATCCTGCGCTTTGGGAATGTGACTGGTATGATTTGCAGCCACTATAGTCTTTTCTTCGCAGGATTCCTCCACGCCACAATTCCAATATCAGGGCTGAGCAAGGGACGGGGCTGACGCTCTTTCCAGAGTGGCGTTTTTAGTTACAATGTGACCGAAGCGGTTCGCATTGGGTCATGGCAGCGACAGCCGAGCACGGGGCAAAAACCAGCCCGGTCTCGTCCCTAACTATTTAACGCAGATATTGGGGTAACTAGACGATATAGTTCTACAGGCTCTCTCACCTATAGCAGAACACACGTCGTGACTAACTAGTTTGCCACTGTTGAACTTTCGGAGAACATGATATACTACTGGCTGTTATGCATTTCTCGGCGCAGGCCGCTGCGTTAGACAGGAGGCGAGTGGCCATCTGGTCCAGGTCAGCCGAACATTTGCGCTGTCCACGCTGCACAAAGGGCCGCGTCCTTGACGCCTAACTACTGCATGTCGGTGCAAAAACACCGAGGAAGCCTTTCCCAACTTGCAAGTCACACCGAGGCTAAAAGGGGCGTGTGCTAACCATAACGACGGGCCGTATCGCATCATAACACAGAAAAACAGCTTATAATATGCCATCATGGAAGACGGGACGGGACCGTCGATGATCTGGTTCGACGACGCAACGGGCGGATCGCCAGGCACCCGAGACGGGAGGACCGAGAACCATGCCAGGTCTGGCAAGATGGCCGTCGGGGCGGGCGCAACATCAGGTGGTGTTGCGCGCGATACGACACGGGACCAATGTTTCTGGGCTTTGGCATTGTCAGCTGCAGCAGTGTGTGGCGGATTGGGCGCCGTGTGGAGGCTATAATAACTACTACTAATAATATGTGGCAATTCCAGAAACTGGGCTGCCTTGTGCAGATTCATTTCTTAAAGGTAATAGTTCATGGTCTCGAGGAAAAGGTTGGAGCAGATAGGTACCTACCTAGTTGGTGGTTGATAACGAAAAACCAGGTAGACAAGAAGCTGAGCGGGTTCCTGCATCATCGTGCGCCGGCTGAGTCGTGCTCCAAGGTACGGAGACGGGATGGCGCGCATTATCGCCATCTTGAGGATGATGAGTTTGGGCGTCATCAATGCGAGTTGGCGACGGTGCAGTAGTGTTTGCCGTTTACTCGACAACAAACGGGTCGACTACTTCGTCCAACACAGACGAGATCCAAGATGGGCTTTCACATGGAAAACCAAAAGAAACAGGCAAGCTGCGCCACTGGGACCAAGGGCTCTGAGCAATTCCAGGCCAGCTCAGGCCAGTTTCAGGCCACTTGTAGCGCATCACGACCTGCAAGTCGACCAAAACCACCTGGGAGTCCGCTGAATCCGATGCCAGCCCCATCACCAGCGACCACTGACCACTGACCACTGACTTGTCGTGAACCCGAGCCAATTGCCTTGCCTCAACCATGGCATGAAAAACCCAATACCTTAGTACCCTTACCCATAACGCTGTGTACTGGTCCCTCTCCTGCGTAATGTTTTCCCTTTCATCGCCAGCTCGCCGCGAGAGCAAATTCGGCCCATCGTGTTCGCAAACAAAGAGCCAACTCCAGCCCTACCTAGGTACCGTACCAGGTACCAACAAACTTCTACCCCTCTGTGGCGCGCGTCGACAAACGCGACAAGGCGGGCGGCGCAGCTGTTTTGAGGCGCAAGCACATCGACCGAAACCAGGCAAACGTGCGACGCTTTTCCTCCATTGACTTCTACATCACCCTGACCGGGGACGCAACATCTCTCATCTCCGTCTCTGCGCGACCGTCACACATCAGCCGCTTCCCTATCTCAACACTGTTGGCACATACCTACCTGGCCCGTTCTCCTACACGGCTTCGTCGCATCGCACCAAACCGGGGGGGGGATGTGACCGAGAAGACGCCGGGCAGAGGCAATTGACACAAAGCATGCAACATTGTACCAGAAAGCTTACTTTGCCACCTTGACTCTTCTCTCCTTCCCAACGCAGCCGTCTCATCTCGTCGCATCGGTTCTCCGGCCCGCCCCAACCCTGTCACGGGGGTGGTAACGCCAAACGCCTTTCCAATCACCAGACAAGAGGCCTCTTCTTTGTTTGAGTGTGGGTCGGCGTCATTGGATTGTTGCAATCGTCGAGTCCCCTCTTTTTCTGTATCCAAAGAGATCTTAGAACCGAATATTCTCGGCTGAATGGCGCAGCTCGCAGGTAGCCGTGCGGTCGCGCCACGCTCCGGCGCCGCCTTGGCCGTCCCGCCGGCGCTCCGCCCGGTCCTCCGCGCCTACGCCCTGGGATACGCCTCGGCCGTGGCGCCCCGGCTGCTGACCCTGGCTGTCCAGCACATCCTCAAGCTGCGGCGCAACTCCGAGCAGCTCCTGCCCTCAGATCCCGAAGACGAGCCCACGTTTCTCGCTGGCGCCCGCTACATCCTGCGCTCCGGCTTCGACCCGCAGCGTTTTCCAACCTTTTGCGCTGTTCTCGTGGCCGGAACCTCTTTATTACATGTGAGTTTTTCATTTATTGATCAGAGTTGCCTCCCCACTGGCCCAAGCTATACGTTCCACCAAAGCGGATTCGAAAATCATGGATTAACGTGCGATGATAGAAACCACTCGACAAAGTCATTGCCAGTCTGGGCTCCAGTCTGAGCCGGACTTCACGGTTGCGGTATGCTCCAGAATCAACTCCCGAACCTCTTCCTTTGTGCGGCTCGCTCACTTTTCTAGGTTGGCACGTTTCCTGTGTAGCTTCCTCGCAGGCTGGTTCGGCCTGAAGCTCCTCCACACAAAGGGCACCGCGCCGCGCCGACACTCGACGGCCCGACGAACCAAGCGGGAGGAAGAGATTCGCTGCCGGAAGATGGCCGGCCGCACCATGGATCTCACCCTCTTCGCCGCCACCCGCGCGGCCGACGTCGTTGTCGGCGAGCTGTGGTCGCAGCGCCGGTCCCGCCGCCAGCTTTCCAACAAATGGACCAAGGCACGCCTCACCAACTTCCCCAATACTTGTCGTCGCGTCACAGACCATGCTAACCGCAGCGAAACCCACAGACCGAATCCTTTATCCAATACATGGCCGACCCGCTCGTCTTTGTCTCGTCCTGCGCCTTCATCATGTGGGCGTGGTTCTACCACCCGGACAAGCTACCGCGCGGGTACCAGAAATGGATCACGTCGGCCGCGCAGGTCGACACGCGCCTCATCGAGGCCCTGCGGGGCTTCCACTTTGGCACCTATATCTACGGCCGCGAGACGGGCCAGGCCAGGCTCATCGGCGACATGTGCGACGATTACGGCCTGCCGCGCCGCTGGGGCGACCCGGCCGTCCACGTTGCCCTGCCGTGCGAGATTGTCCACATGGGCTGCGGCCCCTCGTGCGAGTACCACGCCCTCAGTCGCTTCGCCCGCTCCTGGAAGTGGTCCATGTACACGTACCTGCCTCTCGCGCTCGCCCTGCAGCTGCGCCGCGGCGTGCCCTCGCAGCGCGGCCTGCTCGGCGCCCTCCGCTCCGCGTCCCGCTCCTCGGCCTTTCTCGCCATGTATATTACCCTCTTCTACTACGGCGTGTGCCTCGCCCGCACCCGCGTCGGGCCACGACTCGTCGGCACCGACACGGAGGCACGCCAACACCTCGATAGCAGCCTTTGCGTCGGCACTGGCTGCTTCCTCTGCGGGTGGAGCGTCCTGATTGAGACGGCGAGCCGCCGCAAAGATATGGGCTTGTTTGTCGCGCCCCGCGCCCTCAGCACCTTTGTGCCCCGGCAGTACCCCAAGGAGAAGCAGTGGCGTGAGACGTTGGTCTTTGCGGCCAGCACGGCCATCGTGTTCACGTGCGTGCTGGAGAACCCACGCCGCGTCCGCGGTGTGCTTGGCGGTGTACTCGGCTACGTCCTAAGAGAGTGACGAGAGGAAAAACGCGCTGCGTGAACAGCCTGAGAAATAAGTGGTATTATGGTGGTGGTGATCGAATCTTTTGAAGTAGAGTTGTATGATGAGCATTAGTAGAGCTATAAGCCAACATGTACAAAAGTGTTAAAACTTGCTTTCCATTCACAAACATACACAAGATGCATATAAATCGTCATGACCATCACATCTTTTCGCTGTTATTCTATATATTCTTCCCGCCGCCATGTCCCGACCTCTCTCTCTCTCCGTCCCCTTACAGCTGCCCCTTCCACCACGCGCAAACGCCCAGCACAAACGCGCACAGCAAGATGTCCGTCCGCACCGTCGTAAAGATTTGCCCGTACCGCATGACGCTGACCACGTACCCCCGCCAGGGCGCGGGCAGCTGGCTCGCAATAGACCACAGGAAGCCCGGCGGCGGCGCCCGGCCCTTGTCCAGGACAAACTTGGTGGTGAGGAGCAGCGCCTCGGCCGTCGCAAACGCCCAGAAGAAGTTCTTCTTGGCCGCGTCCAGGCCCGTCATGTCCGCGACGACGCCCCCCTCGTCCGCAGCCGCCCGCTTAAAGGCCAGCTGCCGCTGGACCTTGGTCCCGTCAAACGGCGTCGCCAGCACAATGTAGAGGCCCAGGCCCAGCGCCAGCAGCGCGTGCACGATGCGCCACACCGTGTTGTACACGTCCGCCGACGTCTGCTGCTGCTGCGGCCCGCCCATCATGCCCGCAAAGGGAGAGGCGTTGGGACCCGCGCCGCCCGTCGGCATGCCGGGGAAGCCGCCGCCGCCGGCACCGCCCATCATCTGCGACATCATCTTCATCATAGGGTCCTCGTCACTGGGACTTGTCGCGCCAGCAGCGGGCGCACCGCTGCCGAGCATCAGCTGACGCAGCTGCGCGCGCTGCTCCTCCGTCAT